AAATTGATGGAGAAGTACTTTATATGTAATATGCCTGTAATTTCCAGTGTGAGAATGTAAAAAAATCAGTTATGTATTGTTCACCATCTCTACTAACAACCTGAAGCACAGAAAGCCATTACAAATCAAAAATAGATGACAGGTTTATCCTTGAAATACAAAGTCCTATCTATAATAGGAACTTCCTTTCAAGTTTCAAGAACTTTCCCGGGAGGATTCATGATCAGATGAATTAAGTGCTTCCTGTCGAGAAGAACATTTCAAGTTAGAAAGAGGCAAAACGGTTCTGGCATTGCCACATCGTCGATACTGCTTCCGTAGGTTGCATTGCATTCCACGATCTATACGTCAATGTGTCCCTAAGTGACTTAATTACACTTCAAGGGACCCTATACAGATTACACTTATTAAACATGGGCACAACACGAAAAATAATGACACAATATCTATAAATTGTAAGCACATTGGGCACTACAAAAAGATGAAATATGCATTTTCTTAGACAATATTAATATCGATTTGTTTTTGTTATCGTCATAGCTACGCAGCCCCCTCCATAGCACTGCCAGACAGTATAACTATAATAGATGTCACGTGGGGTGTACACCACAAACACACATCATCAATAACTATCGCAATGCGCAATGTCATAAATATATGGGGAAAGTTTTTGTTTACGTCGCATCCCGGGGTCCATGTTTGTGGCAGAGGTACCGCAAGTCCCATTGGTCCCTAGTATTGTGACCGCCTCCGTGGTCTAGTGGTAGAGCGTCCGCCCGGAGAGCGTCCCGGGGTCCATGTTTGTGGCAGTGGTACCGCAAGTCCCATTGGTCCCTGGTATTGTGACCGCCTCCGTGGTCTAGTGGTAGAGCGTCCGCCCGGGGAGCGGAAGGTCCGGGGTTCGATCCCCGCCCGCGTCATACCAAAAGACGTTAAAAGATGGTACTTGTTGTTACCCTGTCTGGCGCTCGGCATTAAGGGGCTAAAACAAGGACTGGTCGGCTCGGAAGCAGTATACTGTGTCTGAGTGGGGTATTCATGTTTAACTGCGGCATGGTATCTCAGTGGGCTAGCACTATAAATCGGCATCAGTCCGGACTAGTACAAGCAGCCACACACACACACACGTGCATGCACGTCGCTATATAAGTGCGACGTTAAACCAAATTTCACCTCACCTCACCCTAGTATTGTGATCGTCCTTTGGCTGCCGATGATCTATAGCCTGTTTTAATAATATACTGCCAAGTTATAGTTATTACTTTGTACTGCTCTAGTACTAGTTTTAAATACAAAACAGTATATAGTTATTATACTCTCCATTGTGGACAGGGTTCCGTTCCACAAAACGATCTTAGCGCTGAGGTGATCGTAACTCCCATACTTTTTCATAGGTTTACGGGGGGCACGGGTGGCCCAGTCGTCTAAGGCGCCGCGACTCGCTGTGCAGAGTTGCGTCCCTTGGGCACGCCAGAAACCTATGATTGTGGGTTCGAATCCCGGTTCACCCCAAATATGTTTCCAGGTTTGTCAGCACCATACCCGTGCTCATGGGTTTCACCGAAGTGGTAAACGTCTAAGACCTGCATCACTCCGGGCTTTCCTCCCACATTAAGCTGACACGCCGCGATATGACTGGAATACTGTAAAAGCGGCGTTAAACCCAACTCACTCACTCACTCACTCATAGGTTTACGACTGTCATAGCGCTACGATCGCTTCGAGGAACGGAACCCAGGTTTGTAGAAATGATCAATGTGGAACTTGTGCTAATCACAATATAGCTGAGATATATAAATGTTAAATTACATTTTTTTGTTTTATTTCACTTATTTAACTCACTCGCTGTCAGGTCGTAACTGTGGTGGTCTTATGCAATTATTATGTTTGTTTGTTGTTTAACGCCGCACTCAGCAATTATTATGTACAGATAAAAATAAATAAATGCAGCAAAGAGGCTTTGGGTGATCCTGGCACAGTCAGGCTGGCCAGGCTCATCCTCATCCCAGGGCCCTTGACCCCTCTACACAAAGCCATGAGAGCGAATGGGACTTCTACCGGGAAGCGCTGCCAAGTCGAACCCACCAAGAGAATGTGTGGACTCCCCAACACTGCAGTCGTCTGCAAGGTGAGAGTCTGTATTGTATTCTCTTTCCACAAGCGTGACTTGTGCTGCTATTGATAAACATTAAAACTAAACTAAAACGTAATTGGTTTCAGAAAATAACTTCATAAACTAGTTTTCTCATTCTTATCAATACCTTCTGCTAGAAAAGTTATATGTCTTGGAAAAAGCTAGTGGTTCGTGAAGTTGGTAATTACTGTAAACTTCTCATGTAGAAATAGTTTCTTAATAATTCTTTGGAAACTCACAGCGGACTGGTCGATCACACAAGATTGTATACATGCACGGGTGGCCCAGTCGTCTAAGGCGCCGCGATTCGTTGTGCAGATTTTCGTCCCTTGGGCACGCCAGAAACCTATGATTGTGTGTTCGAATCCCGGTTCGCCCCGATTATGTTTCTAGGTTTGTCAGCATCATACCCGTGCTCGTGGGTTTCACCGAAGTGGTCAACATCTGAGACCCGCATCACGTCGCGCTTGCCTCCCACATTAAGCTGACACGCCATGATATAGCTGGAATACTGTCAATAGCGGCGTTAAACCAAACTCACTCACTATTGTTGTTCTACAGTTGAAATAATTGGATAAGAAGCCAATCATCCAATATATTGCCAGGCTCATCATCATCTCAGGGCCCTTGCCCCTTCTACACGAAGCCCAGAAAATGTGTGGACCCCCCCCCCCCCCCCCCCCCCCCCCCAGTCGTCTGCATTAGCCAGGCTGGGTACTCTCCCAATGTCTCCCAATGTCAGCCAGTTGGGAGGTACCAAACCTAGGGCACCGAGAACAATGAGGAGTCGGACAGCCTGTTACATGGGATGCAGGCGTGACATTTCGAAAGCGAGATCCGCATGTTTGCCATGTTGTGCCATGACTGTTGTCCATCACTTCAGGGGACAGAGAATCCAATGATATAAACTATTTCATTGGATTTCTCAAAAAGGACAAGATCAGGTTTGATGTCCTGGATATGTCTTAGGCTGTCTACGGGCCTATATGTTAAAGAACTTTGTAACTATCATTTCCCATGAAGCCCTCTACATATTCTGGGTCTGGATGGACCTCTGAGTCGAAGCCACAAACAGAGCTAAGAACGGAAATAAAAGGATCGAGTCACTCCATCATGTCGCTTAAGACACTGTGTGGGCTGGGCAGCCACTGACAATGTGTTGGACAGTCTCATTAAATTCATTGCCTAACCTACATTTCGTGTTTACAGTTTGATGCAAAATCACACATTGACGGTTTTGAGTGGGTTGGGACAGACATGAGCCGCGAGCAGAAAGCCTTCTGTTTCACTTTTCAGGCCAGTCGACTCGGGGTTGCGGTTCACAACACTGCACATAAACTCAACGCAGTGGCCGTTTGGAGAGCATTCCCTTAATAAACGAGGCTTTGTCGATTTGATATGGCACTTCGTTTGGTTGACACCGATTTCTGTACCGTCCAGCTGTATAAAACTATCTACAAAATCAACATTGACGTTGCGAATATGTCCCACGTCCTTGGCTTAAGAAACCCTTGGAATGCCTTGTTTTCATCATGAGTCTTGTCATGCTTCACAAGAGGATCATCAGACAAAATAATGTGTGCAAAGGTGAACAATAACATTCTGTCACGAAGAGCCTCCATGTTCATCAAACTGCGCCCTCCTAGTATAATTGGTAAATATAGACGATTGAAGGAAGGAAGGACGAGGATGGTGATATCTATTGTCTGACATGATGGTACGTGTGAGGCGGTCGATACGCTGAATCTCTTGTTTCTTACATTCAACAACACCAAAAGAATATGAAAAGTCGGGTACAGCATAAGTAATTAGTGGCTTTGACTTTACTGGGAGCGTTAAGCTCTGAAATACAAATGTTCCTACGTCTACATTTCGAAGACTCTTTATATGGGCATTCAGGAGTTAGCCCCTCACCTGCTTTCCTAACTGCAAAAATAGGCCTGACCTTCCAAGAGATGGTCAATAACTTCTCAAAATGCGGATCGAGGAAGGGAGGGGTCCAAAATATCAAAATCCCCCCTCAGTCAATTTCTACTGCCTACAACATATTACATTTGGTTTACAAAAGGGGACCCCCTGGACCGTCCCCAACCCCCAACGCCCCCTCTCGACGTCCTCCCCCAAGTAAACTGACCGAGCCTCTCTTTGCTACCTTTTCACGTTCAGATGAAGAATGTTGCATTGGTTGAGACCAAAGAACATGCCGATATCATAAGAAATGGAGACGACAAGGAGAATCTGGGTTGTTTTAGAGTTGATTCTCCTTTGGCAAGAGGTTCAAGGTCATCCATTTAAGGGAACTGGGTTAGGAGGTGCAGGGTGGTAGTCTTCCTGTTTGCCAAACAAAAAGGATTTAGTGACAAACAGAAAATTAATGTTTAAATTATTCAGCCAGCCTACATGGTCTTTGTGTAGATGCCACTGGGCGTGTCCAGACATGAAAAGAATCTATTTCTAAACGCTTGGCTTGTCACAAACGAATTGATCGAAAGTCACTCTATGTTCTGTCACTAATCTATAAATCAAATGCATTAACGTAACATGGGTTTAAGTGTGATGGAACCATTGATACAATAATTGTTATGTATCGACACGCTGATAAGAACGTAGAATGTTTTATTGATGTCCCAGTCACATTCAACTTCGATCTAACAATATTAACAGTTTGCATAATCAATCTTACGTGTGAACGTCAATCAATACGACGTCGAACTCCCTTCAATTAAATAGCAGAATGCAAACTTCAAATGAATCGAATAGTACAAGTCACTCATACAAGGTGAGTACACTTAATAAAATCTCGAGATCTCCGACTGGAGAGAACATGGAGGGTATTCCGGACAACGGATCGAATACTATAACTTACATTCGTCCAGTCAGGCGAGCGGTGTAACTGATGCTGGCTCCAACGAACATGTTTCCGGGAATGTTCTCACCGAATGTAACAGGCTGGAACCAAAACGGGAGAAAGGGTTACTGTTTGAATACTATGTCCTGCTCAAATGCATACATGTGTGGTTATATACTGTAACCCTGATTACAGTCCGTTTGACTCCAAATGAGAACGATGAATTGCAAAATAACTCGAAATCCAGAAAAGTGTATGAAACATCAATACGGTACTTGACCATGAATATCCTGTACCCAACAAAATCTGAATTTTGTTTATTTTAAGACCCATGACGGATGAAGTTCTTTAAGAAACTATCATGTAATTTTGTATAGAAATGTGTACATAACACGTAGGGGGACAAACCGTAGAAGGAACAACGCAAGCACGGTCTGCACGTGCTACACAGTGACCGTGTTCATTCAATGACAAGATGCGCTACTCAGCAGATGTTAAACAGTTGATGTTGAATGTGTATGATTTCTTTAGAAGTGAAGCAGAAAGAGCAAAGTCTTTTTATGCAATTAATATATTCTTGAAACGAGCTTCAAAAGCTCTTGGTATGTCCCCTCAGAAACTAAAAATGTTGTTAGTCGACGAGATACAAATAGTCAGGCCACGGAGGTAGGGAACATGTTAAAACCACGCAAGGTTGATAAATTAGACAGTTTTCAGAGGGATCAAGTCAGACGTGCAATTGTTAAACTGCACTCCAAAAAGAAATACCTGTCCCTAAGAATTTTGAAAAAACCACCTTGAAACTGACCATGATTTACGTGTTACAAAGTACAAACTATGGCAGCTGTTGCATACATTTGGTTACAAATACAAAAAGATAACTTGAGAAAATAGGGCTGTGTTGTGTGAACGGTCTGACATTGTTCGTCTCCGAAATCATTACCTTCGTACCATCAAGCAGAAACGTGAAGAAGGATATGAGCCCGTCTTCTTAGATGAGACATGGGTAAATGCGTCACACACAGACAGCAGTCAGTGGGTCCCCAGTGGTGACTGTAAGGAGTCTGGTAGAAAGTTACCAATGGGAAAGGGTGAAAGACTCATAGTTCTCCATGCTGGTTCTGCTAGTCAGGGTTTTCTCCCAGACTGTGACCTCGTCTTTAGAGCCAAGGCCAAAGACAACAGGGACTACCACACAGAAATGATCGGCAATGTATTTCTGGAGTGGGTGAAAGATAAATTAGGCCCTGCTTTGCCTACCAAGTCTCTCATTGTCATGGACAATGCACCGTATCATAGTGTGCAGGATCCAGATAGCAAGACTCCAACCTCTAATAACCGTAAAGGAGACATGGTTACTTGGCTGCAACGGAGGAACATTACCTTTCCTTCTCGAGCGACGAAACCACAGCTCTATGAAATCATCAAAACTATGAAACCTGACCCCGTGTATAAAGTTGACAGTTACATCAAGGGTCAGGGTCACGCTGTCTTACGACTGCCACCTTATCACTGCGACCTGAATCCAATCGAGTTGGTATGGGGCATCGTCAAGGGTGACGTTGGACGATCGAACACAACGTTCAAATTACGAGACGTTGAACAACTCGTAAAGGAATCCCTTGGTCGGGTAACAGTAGAAACATGGAGGCGTTGTGTGGCCACAGTCGTTGACGAGATACAGCCACGTTATTGGTCACGAGATGGACTACGGCCAGCAACAGTCCAACCTATAATAGTAGCAGTCGGTTCAGGCACCAGCAGTTCCGACGACGAGATCTATGGTATGAGCGAGTCAGATTGCGACTGAAATTATCATGAGCCGGCCCCTCTAACGCTCTGTCATTTCCCCTACCACAGAACGTGCAGTGCATGCGTGCTTGCGCTGTGCCTTCCATGGTTTGTCCCCCCTTCGTGTCATGTACACATTTCTATACAAAATTACATGATAGTTTCTTAAAGAACTTCATCCGTCATGGGTCTTAAAATAAACAAAATTCAGATTTTGTTGGGTACATGGTATTCATGGTCAAGTACCGTATTGATGTTACATACACTTTTCTGGATTTCGAGTTATTTTGCAATTCATCGTTCTCATTTGGAGTCAAGCGGACTGTACATGGTAATACTACATACTTTGGTGCATGACGTTAAATACATCACGGAGAAATATACCACGGCAAATGACAGCACTAACTGATAAACAACGGACATGAAAGACGGGTGCAATAAAGTTACAAAAGAAACGAAAGTGTTGAAAAACACATTGCAAAGAGACCAGTGTGGAGTTAACGTCATAACTCTAATCTGGGACTTTTTTACATGTGATGTGTTTTCAGCTACAGCTTGATTAAAATTATGAGTCTGGATATTGCTTTATGAAAAACAGACCGCCTCCGTGGTCTAGTGGTAGAGCGTCCGCCCGGAGAGCGGAAGGTCCGGGGTTCTATGCCCGGCCGCGTCATACCAAAAGACGTTTAAAGATGGTACTTGTTGCTACCCTTTCTGGCGCTCGGCATTAAGGGGGTAAAACAAGGACTGGTCGGCTCGGAGTCAGTATACTGTGTCTGAGTGGGGAATTCATGTTAAACTGCGGCATGGTATCTCAGTGTGCTAGCACTATAAATCGGCATCAGTCCGGACTAGTAAAAGTCCTCCCCCCCCCCCCCCCCCCCCCCCAAACACACACACACACGTGCATGTACGTCGCTATATAAGTGGAATAATCTTGGACGCGACGTTAAACCCCAATTTCACCTCACCACACCTATGAAAAACACCTTGTAACAACGTATTTTTTTGTGTCAGACAAGGTCTTTTCTTCAACAGACTTAAGCATATGTTTTTAGTTTTTATTTTCCTATGTACATTGAGAATGACCTTTTACAGTTTTCAGTGATCATTAGAGACCATGGGAAGGAGAGAGAAGGGGTTGGGGACGAACAAGTGTTTAATAACTACTCTATTTTCTCAAGTCTACCAACATAGGTATTTGTTGGGATAAAACATGAGGACAAATTTATTCTTTTCCGTTTTTTCTCGAAAAATAAATCTTTTCTAAAATATTCTTGGCACACCCACATCCCACCATCCCCCGACCTACGTCACTCTCAACCAGATTATAATATGGTCGGTCCCTTAGTGTCTTTGATGAGTGAGAACTAAAACTATAAGTTGTCTTATGATAGGTTAGCTACCGGCTGGGCAGGACTTGTTTACCCTTATCGCGAACACATGGTGTTGTCAAAGATTTTTAGTGATCCATTCATATAATTTTCATCACTTTTATGCTCTTTAATGTGTTTCGGTAGATAATTGAGACTAAATATTATCTGACGTTGATGTTCTCTGTAACATATAAGAAGTCAGTAAAGTTATTAATTTTAGAGCTCAACCTATCAAAAGATGTTGGAATCTACAAGAGGCACAATGCCATTACCTCTGCAGCAATGACTAGCTCTTTGGAAGCTTGCTTTCGCGAACACCAGATTTTCAGAGGTCCATTTATATAGTTTTCGGCACTATTTTGCCTTTTGCGCCCAATGGAATCTGTTTCGGCAGATACACAAGACGGATTATTCCCTGGCGTCAGCAGTTTTTGAAGAAAAGAAAAGTCGTTAACGGGCATTTAGAGTTTGGAAGAATATGAAATCATGAACAACAGTGTCTTCAAAAGAAAGGTGCGGTAAAAGTGGATTCTGATTGATACAACTCTTCTGTATAACGAAGACATGTAGTTGCCACATCCGTAAGATGCATCCGGGTAATGTATTGGATAGGGCACGCACATTGAATTAATAAATAAGTTATTTACCGGGTTTATCCAGTGTCTTTGTTTACATGTGCCAGTGATGGTTGGCCAGAATCCGTCATTATCACACAGCATTGTCCCAGGGTCGTCCGTCATCTTATACCCGTCGTTGCAGACGACGTTCAGAGCTTCAGTGCCATTCGTGGTTGATGTGTTCAGAGAGCTGAAGGGCACGGTGTTCACTCTGAACGCCGAACAGGCTATGGCTGAAACGAAACGAGAGTTTGAGATATAGAGGATGATATACTGAGCTTAAAAGAGCATTCATTTAATAATGTGATCCGGCCTAGTTTGTCTGCTACTCCCAATTATTTAATGTGCACGGTTAACAATTGTCGAGGTAACACAGTATGTCAAGAACCGGATTGGAAATGGGCCCGCCATGTACACTTGGGCCCCACATTGGGTTTAGAGTGGGCCAGGTGAAGCAACTGGTCGAGGGTTCTGCCAACTGGCGGCAATCAATCGGATCCTAATTTTGAAACTCGTATATATACGAAATATAGACTATAAACCAAATATTCTATGTACGTGTGAATGTATGAGGTAGTCATGCCAAACAAGGTCTGCATGCGATATGCGTGCAGAGAAAAAACATAAAAACCCTCGCAGACACAATCAAGGTTCCATGTGGGCTATACCTGTATCCTCTCCCCCTCCCTCCAGGACCCTTTTGGAACCCTTGGAGCAATCCTAACAGTGTCCCGAAGGGCTACCCCATTTAACAACCATTTCCCAGCCCGCATTAACCCCAAGTGGGGCCAATGTGTACATGCCGTCAAGCACAGGCTCCATGTGATCACTATAGATGATTGATGTCTATGGAATAAAGCAATCATTACCCAGTGATACTATTAAATGAATTAAATTATTATACATTGATCACTGCAGAAAACAGCTGATTGTTACCGACAGTCAAGGCAATGCGTCTTTCGTTTTAATGACCATGAATTTATATATAGTAGGGTAGTACAACGAAGGTATTGTATGCTCCGATTATGGAAAGGGTCGTGTGGCTTTTATTTATATTTATGAAGCAAAAACTGAATTTGTATGATGATTGCAAAAACTCAAATTTCAAGATTTAAAATACTAAATATTAATGCCGCATTATTCAAGATAGGGAACTCCCTAGGGTTTCTTAGGGGTAAGGGTGTCGCTGCGTCCCTGGGGTGTGACAAGAACCTATGCTATCATATTCGCCCTGATTATGTTCCTTTGTTTGTCAGCACCATACTTAGGTTTCGCCAAAGTCGTAAACGTCTGAAATCTAATCACTTCAGGCTGTCCTCTCATATCTAGACACGTGGTGATATAAGTGACATACTGTACAAAGCGACTCAGTCACCCGAGGTCATGTATGTAACAGTTTGGGTAGTGATTACATCTTGTCTATATTATGATCTCCTTAAAGGGCAAGTTCACACGGAAATTAACCTATTTTTCTTGTACTTTTTCCACATTAAAAGTGTTAACCTAGAAGTGTCATAGACAAAAATATAAAAATATCACAATTAATTAACATATTTTTCGCATTAATACGATTTATATTTTTCACATTTACCAAGTGTTCTATTTCCACAACAAAAACACCATGGCTTATGCCCCTTGCAATATGACGTCATTGGTGCCAATTGATAAACATTATGACGTCATCATGCTTTGTTAGAGCCGCTTCACGTGGTGTAGGTCTAGGTGTGTGATTCTAGCGTCTCAGATGCCAGCCAGCATAGTGTTATGCTGAGTCACCACTGCGCCGGAGTGTGTCGTAGGCCATGTTGTTTTACCGCAAACTGGTACTGGATATCTTTTGCGTTGAGAATAGACAGGGACCCAGTTGAATTGGCACCAATTACGTCATAATCTAAGGGGGATAACTCAGGCCTGTTTAGCTCGAAAAACGAAGGCCTCATAACGGCATATCATTTTCACACTATTGTGAGCTTCCTACTTTCACTGTGAAAAAAATGAGTGTATATTTTCAAACACAGATACTAACTAATTCTAAAATTGCGTTTTGTTTAGAAAAAGAAAGAAAGTGATTTTTGCGTGTACACTTCCCCTTTAACTGACCATAAAAGTCCAGTTTCCACCCTTGCCGAACGAGGATGGAATTTCTGGGCTCGATCGAAGCGCCACCGGTGGCTATTACGAGTGATCTTCCTACTATGACCCTCCTATTGACCAATGAGATTCCATCACTTCAAGCATAATGGCGGCTCTCAGTCGAGACGATCTGACCGATATTCAAGATCTTTATTGCAATCAAACGTATCTTACCTCGCGAAGTGCATCAAATCGCGTCAGCCCCTTGATTTCAAACATGAACAGATTTGGAAAATATCCTCTGACCCCGAGTTGGCGGTCCACATGTTTTGCAAATCCTGCAGTCGACCGAAATCTGTATGGCAGTTTACGAACCGGATTTCGCTTTCGTTAGGCGATTTTGTTTGAACTGAGAATAGACTCGTTGGTCCAGCCAAAATATAACTCAATAATTTCAGCTTAGTTCGGCAAGGACCGCCTCCGTGGTCTAGTGGTAGAGCGTCCGCCCGGAGAGCGGAAGGTCCGGGGTTCTATTCCCGGTCGCGTCATATCAAAAGACGTTAAAAGACGGTACTTGTTGTTACCCTGTCTGGCGCTCGGCATTAAGGGGCTAAAACAAGGACTGGTCGGCTCGGATTCAGTATACTGTGTCTGAGTGGGGTATTCATGTTAAACTGCGGCATGGTATAACAGTGGGCTAGCACTATAAATCGACATCAGTCCGGACTAGTACATGCAGCCACACATACACACATACACGTGCATGCACGTCGCTATATAAGTGGAATGATCTTGGACGCGACGTTAAACCCCATTTCACCTCACCTAGTTCGGCAAGGGTGGAAACTGGACTTTTACAGTCAGTTAATCCCTTGCCTCGGGAAGATGGTAATTTCAATTTACATTAAAAATGTATTTCGTGTTAAACCTCACCTTGAACAGCCACGTACCATTTTTTAAGTTGGAAGCAAATGTGGATTCATTGGTGTAGTAAAAACATTATAACAAAACACATATACTTACGCCTGAAGTACTCATCTCCCGCTGATGGTACGAGAGAAGAATCTGTCGCTCGGAACAAACTGGAATGGAGACGGCAGGTCCATGTTCCCTTATTATAGAAAAATGACTGACATTCTGCGGTATTATAACAGTAAATGGCACATTCTGATTGTTTTATCACGTCGTAGGCCAAAGTTAAAGAACTGGTGTCACTTTTAGAACCAGTCACTGCTTCATCTCTGACAAACTTCACATCATCACACGCCAAATTATGTTTCAACAGCAGAATGACGAAACAGAAACAGATGTCCGAAATCATATCCGTATATGTCAACTTGTAAGGACTTCGACTTGAAGACAATAAATATTCTGGTTGTAACGCAGTATGTTATTTACTTGGAGACCGCAAGTAGTATTGATTTCTCTTCTCACGAACAGAACGCTAAAGGGTGGAGATAAAATCAATGCTCCGCGAACTGAATCGAGTTTTTATCAAATGTACTAAGATGCTGCCACGAAAATTAATCGCAGACCTTAGATCGAGGTGCATAACAAACCTCTTTACAATAAATTGTATACTTACAAAATCAATAAATCAGGCTGTAGCCATTGTTCACATATCGGCAGAATCGTTAAATACCCGAATCTTGCATTACTGAGGGGAACTTCATAATGTCATGTATCTCATAACAGATGGAAGCGGATGTTGATGATGGGACTACAATGTTGAACACAAAAGAAACTTTCGTGAAATTCATATGTACTCTGTTTAAGGCATTATTTGACTTGGATGCCTTCCAGTCTCCTGATAGTTAGTCAAGGTAAATTATAATAACATTGCATAACAGTGGGGATGAGGATTACCCTTTGAAGAGGCATATCAGCGTTGAGTGAGTGAGTGAGTGAGTGAGTGAGTGAGTATGGTTTTACGCCGCTTTTAGCAATATTCCAGCAATATCACGGCGGGGGACACCACAAATGGGCTTCTCACATTGTACCCATGTCGGGAATCGAACCCGGGTCTTCGGCGTGACGAACGAACGCTTTAACCACTAGGCTACCCGACCACCCATATCAGTGTTGAGTGTCATAAACAAAAACATATTTCGGTATTTCCAGTCATAGATAGGTTTACCTTGTTTTCAGTTATCAAAAATGTTAATGTCATTGCAGAAACATATGCAGATAACAGAAATGTGATTGTCTTTAAGTGGAATCCTCTCCTTGAATGAAGCATGGTACTTGTCCATTGGGTTTCGGGCCATTGGTTTTGAGTTTCAGTGGAGTTTCAGGTGAAGTAGTCTTTTCAAGCACTTATCAATGGATGTCTGATCTTTTGTCATTGGCTAAGGGGTGAAATGGGGTTTAACGTCGCGCCCAACATTATTTTATTTATATAGCGACGTGCATGCACGCGTGTGTGTTTGTGTGGCTGCTTGTACTAGTCGCGACTGATGCCGATTTATAGTGCTTGCTCACTGAGATCGGTCAGTGGAACATGAATACCCCACTCAGACACAGTATACTCACTCCGAGCCGACGAGTCCTTGTCATAGCCGCTTAATGCCGAGCACAAGACAGGGTAACAACAAGTATCATCTTTTTACGTCTTTTGGTATGACGCGGCCGGGGATCAAACCCCGGACCTTCCGCTCTCCGGGCGGACGCTCTACCACTGGACCACTGAGGCGGTCAGTATTGGAAAAAGTTTAAGGAAATTGTTCGAAACCTAACCAAGACTAACTGTTTTAACCCATTTGTTTTCTTCAAGATATCTTCTATTATTTTATATGGAACAAAAGTGTGTAGTTTACAAATGTTTGCCACAATAGAGACAGTACATTTATTGGCCTGTAAAACCTTTCTAATTCAAGCATACATAATGCAAATGTTGCTGATTGTATGCGGCGAATGTTGCCGTTACCGTTTGTTTATAACTTTGTATGTAGCTTTAAGTAACGCATATGCATGACGGACGCAATACCAAAGGAATATATCAGGATCGTCTAAGGCGCCGCCATTTGCTGTGCAGAGTTGCGTCCCTTGGGCATGCCAGAAACCCATGAATGTGGGTTCGAATCCCGGTTCGCCCTGATTATGTTTCTAAGTTTGTCCGCATAATAACTGTGCTCAAGGGTTTCACGAAAGTGGTAAACGTCTGAAACCTGCGGCACTTAGTGAATTCCTCCAACATGAAGCAGACACGTCGTGAAATTAATGGAATAATGTTTAAAGCGGCGTTAAACCCAATACTAAACCCTTACTAATATCAAGTAAAGGAACCCTTCTCGCTCAGGTTGATGGCAGTTGCACGTCCATGTCTTGCCTTTGAAACTGATGATAAATAGTTCAATAAATGTTCTATCACTCGTTAATTTATATAATCGACATATATACAGTACACGTAGTTATCGACCTTGCCGTCATATAGCTGGATGCTGAGTGCGGCGTTAAATAACAAACAAACAAACAAAGTGATCGACCGACTCACTTCGTCAATGTTCTTTAGCCTAGATACAGTATGTCAATAACACGATTTCACGTGTGAACATCTTAATGTTTTTCCAATGAAAACCATGTGGGGACTTTGAGAGGAAACCCGAGGACAAATTATCTGTTTAAAAAATTTTCGGGAATCGATTTCATTTTTTCAAATTCCAAGCAACCACAACCAACATCACGCCAAAAGGAAAACAAAAAAAACAAACAAAAACACTCAACACTTCAGAGGTGAGGTGAAATGGGGCTTAACGTCGCGTCCAAGATTATTGCACTGTTATAGCGACGTGCATGTACGTGTGTGTGTTTGTGTGGCTGCTTGTACTAGGCCGGACTGATGCCGATTTATAGTGCTAGCTCACTGTGATACCATGTCGCCGTTTAACATGAATATCCCACTCAGACACAGTATACTGACTCCGAGCCGACCAGTCCTTGTTTTAGCCCCTTAATGCCGAGCGCCAGACATGGTAACAACAAGTACCATCTTTTAACGTCTTTTGATATGACGCGACCGGGAATCGAACCCCGGACCTTCCGCTCTCCGGGCGGACGCTCTACCACTAGACCACGGAGGCCCAGCACTTCAGAAGAACAAATGTTCATCCACAATATTACATGTTATTTTTCCAATAGTTCCTGAGGTGGAATTACTTTGAACGTGTTTTAGAGAGGATTTCTACAGAAAGCTATTGTTCATTGTCTCCTGTGCGTGTACACATATACTGATGGAAACGAATAAGGGAACAGTGGAAATTATAGGGAAATAAGCTCTGCTGGCAGTACATTTAGAATAGCGCGCATACAAATTCAACACAAGTCAGAATAAAAACTTAAGAAGTGTTCGTGTTTCCAACGTGTGTTTGGTTGACATTTTACTGTGTCTAAAACTAAGTGTTTCCTTTTTCATTTCCATCAATATATGTAAGTAATCCTTGTGGTGTGCCAATCAGTGATGGTAAGTGTTGACGTGGGCGTGCAAAAACACCTTGCATAGAGTGCAAGGCCATAAATCGTAGCCCCTGAGTGAGTGAGTTGGGTTTAACGCCGCTTTTAACATTATTCCAGTTATATCACGGCGTGTCAGCTTAATGTGGGAGGAAAGCCCGAAGTGATGCAGGTCTCAGACGTTTACCACTTCGGTGAAACCCACGAGCATGGGTATGATGCTGACAAACCTAGAAACATAATCGGGGCGAACCGGGATTCGAACCCACAATCATAGGTTTCTGGCGTGCCCAAGGGACGCGACTCTGCACAGCGAATCGCGGCGCCTTAGACGACTGGGCCACCCGTGAATGTATACAATCTTGTATGATCGTCCGGTCCGCTGTGCGTTTCCTGGTTAATTACACCAAAGAATTATTAATAATTACTGTAAACTTCTCATGGAGAAATAGTTTATCTCCGTGGAAGAGCGTCCGCCCAGAAAGCGGAAGGTCCGGGGTCCGATCCCATATCGGCATACCATTTTGCTGTGTTCAAAACGCACGCACGTCGCTATATGCAAGTGCATTAAACCCATTTCATCCCAACTCACCTACTATACCTCCAATTTATCACGTCAAGTAGTTTTCTCTGTTGTGAGTTAAAGTGATATATCCTACACGTGAGTCCGATGTATTTCTTTCCGAGTTGCTATGTGTTCCAGTGAGTGTGAGTGAGTTTGATTTCAGCTTTTAGCAATATTCCAGCAATATCACTGGGGGGGGGGGGGGGGGGGGACACCAGAAATGGGCTTCACACATTGTACCCATTCTATGTGTTCCAGGTGTAGTTAAGGGAATGGGGTAAATAACAGCAAGCAATCAATCCAATGTTGTTTTCTTTCAGCATGAACATTGATGCTAAGGTCAATGTTTCCATTAATAGTCCATATTCGAAGGGATTCGGAATCAAAAATATATATTTACTCAGATCAATGAAATTGATAAGATAAACAACTACATGCCGAAATATCAATATCTAGTTGATATTGATTACAACTTATTCCTTTAGTGACATTTTTTGTCATTAACAGAGACAACGGGCTACGTGGGGGCAAAAAGGAGGCGTTATGTATTTTGGTTTAAAAGAAAATTTGAAACCAATATTGTACTTCACAAGAAAATCATGTTCGGGTAGATATTTATGTTTGTCCATAGATCAATTCACTATCGGCGGCGACGAACAATATTATTAAGCAAGTGAGAGAGGTCGCTTGGGGGCATCGCCGCTTCGACGGGTAGTCAGTTGCAAGTGCGAGGTGTGGCCGTAACAACACGGTATGGTTTGTGTGACAGACAGTTGTTTCACTATTAGGTCACTGGCTCATAATTGTGTTTGTTTGTTTGTTTGTTTGTTGTTTAACGCTACACTCGACGGTGAACTGTAAATAATAGTCTGGACCATACAATCCAGTGAATGGCATACTGAGCATCGATCTACAATTTGCGAGACTGCCCAACGGATTCCGTTAGTCTCTTCTTACCACAAACATGGGCTGCTGAAGACAAAATTCAAACCTTGACCTTCACAGGCAGCATAGGTATGGAACAGAGAAGCTGAGATCATACTCGGGGCTTTGAACCTGTGTTTCAATAATAACTAGAACTTAACTGATCCGTACTCTTTAACAATTGACGTGGTCATCTGCAGTCTTTGGCTAATACATTTTTAGCGCATAAGGGATCCATCATTTTATATTCTTGGGGCGTGGGGCTAGAATTTAAAAAAAATAATAATTGAAAAAACTAAACTACACTCCACTGTATGAGTTATTTGTTTCTGTTGCTTTTTATAGGACAATCCTGTGAATTCGTTCGCATACCTCGATTTACCTATTTAAGTGTCGGTCACGCGTCTGATACTTGAAAACCGACAGACAGTTGCAAAAGGGTCCGAAACTGAGTGAGTGAGAATGGTTTAACGCCACTTTTAGCAATATTCCAGCAATATCACGCGGGGGACACCAGAAATGGGCTTCACACATTGTACCCATGTCGGGATTCGAACCCGGGTCTTCGGCGTGACGAGCGAACTCTTTAACCACAAAGCTACCCGACCGTCCCCCGTAACTGAGGAATTGTTGGTTCAGGGACACCGATTTCCAATTCTTATCAACGTATCTTTGGTACCGATACACTATTAACAGTGGTATAAGTATTTTTAGTATTCTGAGATTACAGGGGTAGTAAGGAAGGATGTTATTGACAATAGTTTCATGCACGGGTTTTAAACAGAAACTAGTTTATGATCGTACAGTTGACCCTAGGAGGGAGACGGCCATGACAGCTGCAGGAGTCGACTCTCTGGTACAACCTATGCCGGTCTTAGATGCGACCAAACGGATCAGATGATCAGGCTCGGTGACATGGTCGATTGCATTTCATCGTACCCGACAACTAGGGTCGTGGCTCACAATGTCAATCACTGCCCCAGATTCTATTATTTGCAGCCCAGTGTCATATTGCTGCTTTTGCCTAGTTAAAATATCCAACCGACCTGGGGCAATTCGGAAATGGAATTTTACCTATTTATACCCTCTTTGGGTTCTTTGTCATTGGATACCTTTAGCTAAGTGAAGAAAATATGTTAGGTATTCTTCAATCTCACAAATTATCAAAAGGCACCAGTTCACCACTAGATTGATCTGTTTAGCAAGTTTGATCAAGAAATATTAAATGGTTTTGTAGCTCTGCTCTGGAAAAAAGCCCTCCCCTCCAACTTGTCGAAAAAAAAAAAAATTTAACAAAATAAAAATGGCACTAGTTCACCACTAGACTGATCTGTATAGCAAGCTTCAACAAGAAATATTAACGGTTTTGGAGTTCTATTCTGGACAGGAAATCTGAAAGCAACCACTATTCCAAAAAGTGTCGATGACAATGAAACAAAACAAACCTGTCTCATCTTGCCAATTTTTCGGTTATGTCACCCTACCATGGCATGGTAGCTTAATGAGGGTGAAAGCCTTAGTTGATTACACTCTTGACCACCTTATCAAAACCAATGAGAACCTGAAAGATGCTTTCAGCGAAATCTGCCTTTTCGGACGACTGTGTCGCATGTCTCTCAAACAAGTACATGTAGATCCTATGACAATGTATGTATAGTAGCACTGTAGCAGCATGCGACCTCCCATACCCCGACATCATCACAGCATACAAGATGAAAGGTCTCTTCTCATTTCTTGTTCTGTATCCTGAGAGGGCTGTTGATATGATTTCATACTTACCTTATTTAATTTTTTTTATTAAAAAAAAACACTCTCTCATTCTTTCTGGTTTGTTTTCATCAAGTTTCAAATTTTCTTTTGGGAAAATTTGTTTTTTGGGTGGTGGTTTGTGTCCACATCTTTTCATTTATTATGATTTTATGAACAGTGTTTTCATTTTCCACATATATGTACATTACAATATTTTTTTTCAACATTGTATGCATATTCTCATTTTTTCTTAGACTGGATATGTTTCTTTTTTGCCATCAACGTTTGTTTTCATTTTTTTCTTTCCAGTCTTGGCTCATATTGATTTTCTTCTTTTCAAATGCAAACAATGTTGAAGAAATTTCACAGATGACAATTGTGTAGTTTTACAATGTACACATCAATGTAAACGTTAAATTACAAAACAAATGCACAATAGATGAAGATGTCATACTCAATACTGCTCATATGAACAAAAATCAACAATTCAAAGAGTACACACTTGCTTCCTCCACTCACACACACAAACCTCATTTACAGTTACACAGCTGTACACAAAGATGCGAATGGTATCAACAAGCAAAGCAACATATTACTTAAATAAAAACGTACAAAATCATATTACCTAAACATGCCCCACTAAAATCATATGGAAAGGGTTTAAGATATTTGTGTAACATTTCCTGCATAAAATACTTCAAACCTGTATAAAATAATTTTCTGATATTGTCTCAAAAAAGTGTATTTTTACCAGTTTTGATTTCTCAGAAGACAGTCACATTTATATGTGTTCGTTAATATACAAAACATAAATTAGTTGTACTGATAATAGTGTTCACATGATAGGAACTTAATATGAAAACATCTCCACCAAACCCTGGCAGTTCACTAAACAACTCTGGCAGAATAAAAGACATTTGTGGTTGCAATATCTCCTCAGTGTCTACATTACAAAAACAACCCTCTTGAAAGGCACTTGGAAACATTTACAAAATAAGCTAACAGTTTGAATGCTTCTGCAATCAACCTGTGCATTGCCCCACTAAGGTTTCAACAACCTTGATTTATCACATTCAATCCATCTTCTTTCTAAAATACATGTTAACCTTGCCAGCACATAGCACAAATTACAATGTCTATTTTCGTTGTAATTCATAAACTACAGAGATCCATTGAGCAGGCTAACTCGTGGTCCTGTACATCCCTTGACCGGGCTTACACGAGGTCATGTACATCCCTTGACCGGGCTTACACGAAGTCCTGTACATCCCTTAACCGGGCTTACACGAGGTCCTGTACATCCCTTGACCGGGCTTACACCAGGTCCAGTACATAACTTGACCGGGCTTACATAAAGTCCTGCACATCCCTTGGCCGGGGTTACACGAGGTCCTGTACATCCCTTGACCGGGCTTACACGAAGTCTTGCGCATCCCTTGACCCGGCTTACACGAGGTCCTGCGCATCCCTTGACCGGGCTTACACAAGGTCCTGCACATACCTTGACCCTGGTTTACACAAGGTCGTGCGCATACCTTGACCAAGCTTACACAGGGTCGTGCTGATACATTGACCGGGCTTACACGAGGTCCTTGCACATCCTTTGACCCGGGCTACTCTGGGTCCTGCACATGCCTTGACCCAGCTTACACGAAGTCCTGCACATGCCTTGACTGGTCTTACCCTAGGCCTAGCTCATCCATTACCTGGCTTAGTATGGCTAATCACTGAGATGCAGGATCACGACTTTGTTGCCATCTTCTAGTCCAACATTAACTGAGACTACATATGAAAACATTTTGTCCATCCATTACTGATTCTATTCCAAACACTGAAAGGCACCTCACTCTTCAATCCTTACATACAAGAAACGGGACTATAATTTTCTTTTTCTCACAAATACAACCATTTATCCCCCACACATTCAAATAATGTTGTTATACACAAATGAATCAAGACAGTGAAAATGAAAGTGACTAGTAAGCCTAGGTACTTCGTCATGCAAGAGATCCAAATAAAGTCACATAGTTTCTGTTACAGGTTTAATGAATGCAAATGATCTTATCATCCTTGCATGTGTTATTACTGTTCAAGCAGTATGTTAATGCAATGTTTAAGTCCATGTTGAGATGCTTATTAATACAGCGAAACCCTATTTTCCCAAGTGTTCCATTCCCAGTTTGAATAACAAATTTTCTGAGTATCACGTCCCTTTGTATACACGTAGATGTTCCCAGCAGTGATCATCATGAAAGCAGGGTTTCCAGAAGACTGGGCTAAATGTACACTTGAATGCATGTGGTTGCAGACACATCTGCATGTAGCTGTGTCAGGACACTCACATATGCATGTGTCCTTACATGAGTGAGTGAGTATGGTTTTACGCCGATTTTAGCAATATTCCAGCAATATCACGGCGGGGGACACCAGAAATGGGCTTCACACATTGTACCTGTCGGGAATCGAACCCAGGTCTTCGGCGTGACGAGCGAAGTGTCCTTACATGGATGCCAGAGTGTGAATGTGTCAGTGCATGACTACTCATATCCTACTGAACACTTCATAGGGACATCCCTCTTGTTACTGCATACCCCAAATGCATCAAAAATACTATGAAAAATAACAGTGTCCCTGTCCAAAGCTGAGCAGTTTATAAGCAGGTGTCTTTGCATGCATGTAGTTTAGGTGTCCATGTGTGCATGCATGTGGTCATGTGGTCTAGTACAAAATAGGACTCAGTAAGTAATAACAATTCAGCTGCACTTCTTCACCACCTCCCGATTCTTCTCCAACTTTTTCATTTGGCCTTGACCTTTCTTGAAGACTACCTCCTCCACGACCGAGACTCTTCATCCTCCTCCTCCTCATCGTCTGCCCCCAGCAGTCCTGCTTCATCCAGTTCTTCCTCAACCTGACTCTGGCAACAGCATAGAGTGAGTGAGTGAGTGAGTGACCTGGGTTTAACGCTACTTTGAACAGTGTTTCAACAATATCACAATGCATCAGGTAAATGTGGTAGGAAAGCTGAAAGTGATGCAGCCTCTTGATGCTCAAAACTTACTTGAAACCTGTGAGAATCATTACAAGGACAGTGCAGAAATGGCTTCGATCGTCAGTTTGGGTTTGCCTAAGGGACAACTCCCACCAGTCTTCGGCGTGACGAGCGAACGCTTTAACCACTAGACTACCCGACCGCCCCCCATCAAATTTATATATATTAATACATTGCAACAGTTGCTGCAGACTTGGGGGCCAAAGATCAGTCTCTGAGCAGATCGAGATAAATCCCTAACTCCAGTGAGTGAGCAATATCACAGTGGGGAACACCAGAAATGGGCTTCACACATTGTGCCCATGCTGGGAATCGAACCCGGGTCTTTGGCGTGACCAGCGAACGCTTTCACCACTAGGCTACCCGACTGCCCTATTCTACTATGAATATGACATGCAGTTGTATAGAAGTACCTCATCTTCATCATCTTCCTCCAAAGCTCCGGACAGACTGTCATCACTGACTACGCTGACAGTCCTCAGCAGTGGAGTGAACCACTGTATATTCAGAGGCTTCTGGTACTTGTTTCCTCGACTTATGGCCTGTAACAGATTTATCTGTCAGACATGGCACAACACAGGATGTCATTTCAAGAATCTTGTCAAACATGCATTGGCTTAGATGGAAAGATCTGCTCTCTTTGTCTTCTTAAATTTCCGCTAAAATAGTTCAATATCTCAATATGATCTTTATTAAAACAACCCTATAGTCGACGAAGTCATCTATAAGTTTTGTAAGAAATTATTTAACGTTTTTTGAGTTACGCTCCGGAAACGAACAGCACCCTTATAGAACCCAAGTCCAACTTGTTGCCATGGAAACGTAAAAAATAAAAATTTATAAAACTCCTAAATAGCAAAAGGCACCAGTTCAGTATGTGTCTGGTAAACATGCACAGATTTGTAAGAAATTATTTGATGTTTTTTGAGTTACGCTCCAGAAACAACAGCACCCTTATAGAACCTAAGTCCAACTTGTTGCCATGGAAACGTAAAAAAATAAAAATTTATAAAATTCCTAAGTAGCAAAAGGCACCAGTTCAGTATGAGTCTGATAGACATGCCAAGTTTTGTAGAGAAATATTTAACGGTTTCTGAGTTATGCTCCGGAAACGATTTCGGGACGCACAAACGCGCACACGGACGGAATCCATTTCTATAATGAAATAATAGGGCCAAAGGGACTATGTAGTTCAACTGAATTTTTATGAATATTATTAAAAAAATAAAGAGGGATAGGCTAAGAATTGACAAGTCTTTACACATCTTCACAGAATGTTCATTAAATTACACAATGACTCACTTTCTCTGCATCCTTCCTGGTTGAGAATGTAATTATTGCACTTGGAATGTCATCATTGTAGTCCACTTTCTCGGTCATGCAGGTCTGCTGCAAGCAACATGCACATCAACATGAATCAATGAGTCCTTCTTTTAGCCCCTTAATGCAGAGCACCAGGCAGGGCAACAATAAGTACCATCTTTTAATGCCTTTTGGTATGACGAGGCTGGGGATCGAACACCCAGACTCCGCTCTCCGTGTGGCGCTCTACCACTAGACTATGGAGTGGTGCGACTATTTTGTGTGACTTTCAGCAGTATCCAAGCTAGATCAGAGTCTTGTAATCATCAGTTTAGGGCAGGCAAAACCAGTGGCAACATGAGCAACAATCCACACTACTGTGGTACGATGACACCCAATCAGCAAGGTCACACAATGTAACCATTTAATACACATTGGCAGTCTTAGGACCATCCGAAATTATTTGTGTTTTCTTTTTTCTAGTTAACAGTGAGTGAGTGAGTGAGTTGGGTTTAACGCCAGTTTTAACATTATTCCAGTTATATCACAGCGTGTCAGCTTAATGTGGGAGGAAAGCCCGAAGTGATGCAGGTCCAAGACGTTTACCACTTCGGTGAAACCCGCGAGCACGGGTATGATGCTGACAAATCTAGAGACATAATTGGGGCAAACCGGGATTCGAACCCACAATCATAGGTTTCTGGCGTGCCCAAGGGACGCAACTCTGGACAGCGAATCGTGGCGCCTTAGACGACTGGGCCACCCGTGCCCCCTTCTAGTTAACAAGTAATCCTGACATAAAACAAGAATAATGCCAAAGTCCAATATAAGCAATAAGTGATTAAGCATTTGCTCTAGCAATGTAAAAGCAGGGGATCTGTACCCATGTGGCATGAGTAAAAAACGTTTTCTCCTCTCGGCTACACAACCACCCTGTCAACAGTAAGTAGTCAGTGATGAAATCTAAATCCTACTACACTGACGCAAGTCTTACACTGAAAAATTGTTTGATCTCTTCCTTTTCCTCCAGATCAAATCCCTTGATCTGAAGCGTCCTTGGGCGTTTGTCTAACGACAGACTGCCAGCTGCAGCTCCTCTCCCTCTCCCACGCCCCATCCACGAGCCTCGACCTCGACCAACTCCTCTTGTGACCATGCCGCGGCCTCGACCCCTTCCCCTTCCCTTGCTGTCCAGGAGACCCATGGCAGTTGCCTAGAAGACAAATGAAAGAATGTGTTTGTGGGTATTGTCTGATGACTCTCAGCAATATCAAATGGAAGCCTGCAAATAACTGAGCCTCAAGATGCCTCTTATTGACATCATAATGCTTAAGTTTCACAACATTTAATCAGCATGGGGTATCCTTAAATCACACAAGCAAAGTATCAACATCATTTGAGGATTCAACAGAACTTAAAAGCAATTGGCTGAAGATTAACTCTGAGGTATTGTTCCATACTCGAGAGAGCTCTTATTCTAATATTATTCTTATGGTGTTGGTTAAATATTTTCTTATTTCAACAAAATGTTTAAAACAATTTAAGTTGCACATAAAGCTACAGTTTCATAATTGTTTGTTGGTTGGTTGTTTAACGCCGCACTCAGCAATATTCCAGCTATATGACGGTGGTCTGTAAATAATCAAGTCTGGACCAGACAATCCAGTGCTTGACATCATGAGCATTGACCCATGCAATTGGGATATGTGGTCACCCAGCAGTGAATGGGTACCTGGTAGGATGAGATGGTAATGTGACTTAACCTTTCAGCGCCTTACAGGCAGCTTTGGACGTATAATCCGAAGGAAGCTGAGAATGAAAGTCTAGTGCACACTGATCCATTGACCAGGGTATAAATAAATCTGTTAAGCACCTTTGAGCAATATTTTTTTTTATCATTAAAACAACTGCTGGTGTCTACCTACCTCCCGGGTAAGTTCCATCAACTTCTTCTTCAGCAGTGTTGTGTCTTCTCCATTCCCCGTCTTCGTCATCAGCTCCAGCTCAGTGTCTAGGATCTCACGCCGAGCCTGTTGTAAAGAATGCTTTGTAAGCAGAAAATTCTTAGTATGACTTGAATTGTTGCATAAAAACATCTTGGGTGCCAATACAAACGAGACGACAGATCAATCTGTGAGACCATATAGTCCACATCATTAAAATTATCAGTTAACAATGAATGCATACATAGAGACTATTATCATGATTATATGAGCATGTGTTATACCAGCATTTCTCGAGCAAGAGCTAGGGTAATACATAAACTCTTACATGGGTTTCGTTATATCACTGTAACACAAATGAAAAATTTCTTTCTTACCCATTATTTCTTAACCTTTTGAGCTCCCTTTTAGAGTGAGTGAGTATGGTTTAACGCTTTTTTTAACAATATTCGAGCAATATCATGGTGGGGAACCGGCTTCACACATTGTACACATGTGGGGAATGGAACCTGGACCTTCAGCATGACGAGTGAACGCTTTAACCACTCGTCTACCCCACCGCCCTACTAACCTTTAGAAATCACAATTGTTGAAAGACATCAACTATCTTCAGCTGTGATGTCGTTTCTAGCCTTACGCCATTCTGACTTAATGTCACAATAAAGCTCGAATGACGTTAACAATACAGTGATCGAGCGAGTATGGTTTTACGCCACTTTTAGCAATATTCCAGCAATATCACGGCAGGGGACACCAGAAATCGGCTTCACACATTGTACCCATGTCGGGAATCGAACCCGGGTCTTCGGCGTGACGAGCGAACGCTTTAACCACTAGGCTACCCGACCGCCCCCGTTAACAATACACTAATGGACATGAAGTGATATTTGCACTGGTGCACATGATTTTTAAGAACTCTAACCTATCATGAATAATGGGAGTTATTTGATGATATATTAATGTATGTACAAATAAGTCCCCCCACTGGTGACAATTAAAACATGAATTGCCTGTGTGATGCTGAGATCAGCCAGTATCAGATTAAGAAGGCTAGCTACCTGCTCAGGGCTCCTCACCAGCGACATTCCCCCCATCTTGGGCATTAGCTCCATCTTCAGCTTGTCTATGCAGCCAGACACAGCTTTTAGAGTCTGAAACATTGTCAAACTCAGCATCTTCAACCATCAAAACAATTAAGAAATACTTAAATGTATCACGCTCCTATAATGATGACACCATGAACACATACGCACATTATCATGGGGCAAATGGTCCATAAACAAATTATTCATCCATTATTTGCACATTTGATATGATACGATATGAGCCTGTTTGTTCTGTTAATAATAAACAAAATGAGTTTGTTTATTTACAAAGAAACACATTTCCTCAAATCTTCTTACGTCTTAAAATACCACAGGTGCAATGTCCTAACTCATCTCAAAAACAGTACTTCCAGACCTTGACAACTTTAGATAAAAAATGTATGTCAAGTCTGGATTTTTAAGTAAATATGTATTAGTAATGATGTTTCACAATATCCTGAGATGACCTTGACCTTTTAAAGACACAGCAACAATATTACATGTGGTAGGATTTTTAATGATACATGCAAACATAAAGTTTCATAGCTGCAAAGGTAACCATGCCTCAGAAACTGGCAATGAAAAAACCCATGTGTAGCCGACCTTGACCTTTCACTAATCTTGACCAAACATTTTAAAAACAAGGCCCCATCCTAAAGAAGGTATACTAAGATAATCATAAACGCTAGAGTACTTTCTTGGAAAAGTCATGACCTAGACCTTTTCATGACAGGTCCTAAAAGAATTTCTATTGCCAAAGGCAATTTTGGAAGAAGTCAAGGGAAGAATAATCTCTAATGTCAAAAACATTTGTGTGGTGGTCATTAGAAAAATGACATGGACCTGCAGTCAAATTCCAACCAAGCCTACATGCAGTTCCCATTTCACGGGACTTTTAATAATCAGCTTGAATAATTTCACATCAACTAATGTCTGTTACTGTGAAGGAAAATCCATGTGGAAAATGGAGAAACACTCACAGTCATGATAGCACTTTTGTCTTCAACGCTCATTGATTTGTTCTTCTCCATCTTTTCAATCAATTTCTGAAAAAGAAATTAGAACATATATAACAAGTGCATGTGATACCAGTTGCTGCAACACATGACACCAACTTACATATAAACAATGTGGAGACAAATCACAATTACATAAAAGCTGAAACTTTGTGAAGACCCCCAACAAATTCAGTGAAAGGCAATTATTTTGGTTTTCTTAAAATAATAGTGAGTGAATGAGTGAGAATGGTTTTACGCCGCTTTTACCAATATTCCAGCAATATCACGGCAGGCATCTTCCCGAGGCAAGAGAGTTAACTGACTATAAAAGTCCAGTTTCCACCCTTGCCGAACTAGGCTGGTATTATGGAGTTACATTTTGGCTGGACTAACGAGTGTATGCATAGTCCAATCAAAATCGCTCACTGAAATCGAAATCCGGTTCGTAAACTGTCATGCAGATTTCGGTCGATTGCAGGATTTGCAAAGCATGTGCATCGCCAACTCGTTGTCAACAGATATTTTCCAAATCTTTTCATGTTTTTAATCAAGGTGCTCACGTGATTTGATGTACTTCGCGAAATAGAAACCGTTTTATCACAAAAGAGATCTTGATGGTCGATCAGATCGTCTTGACTGGGCGCCACAATTTTGTTTGAAGCAAATGCATGTGATACAAGAGGTGGAATCTGATTGGTCCATATGGGAGAGGCATAGAATGGACATAACTCGTAATAGCCACTGGTGGCGCTACAATCAAGCCCAGGAATTCCACCTTAGTTCTGCAAGGGTAGTAAAGTCAGTTAACGCTCTTGCCTCGGGAAGATGCACGGCGTGGGACACCAGAAATTGGGTTTACACATTGTACCCATGTCGGAAATCGAACCTGGGTCTTTGGCGTGACGAGCGAACGCTTTAACCACTAGGCTACCCGACTGCCCCTCTTAAAATAATTCCAATTGATGTATAACACCATATTCGATTTCAGATCATTTTCAATGAGGTTACTCTTATCAAGCCATTAGAAAATATGAATGTAACTTGCCTGGAAAGCATACATCTTACAACATCATGCAGAAATAAATGTATGCACACTTTCTGAAGTGTCAGTTAATGTTTCACTCCTATATTTATGTCCAGCATTACCTTCTGTTGCTCTATCTGCTTCTTCAGCAGCTCCTGCTTCTGTTGCTGAATCTCCAGCCGCTTCTTGGCAGCCTCCTGAGGGAAGAGAAGGAGTTGGGTTTAACACCTCTTGCAACAAAATCATGATTATCTCGCAGATAAACATGGTGTGTCAGCTTGATCATGTTGATGCGGAAGGAAAGCCTGAAGTGATGCAGGTCTAACACGTTTAACATCTTGGTGAAGCCAAGGAGCACATACATGATGCTGACATACCAAGATACACAATCATGGAGAACCGGGATTCAAACCCAAGATCATAGGACCAATAGATATCATTGTTAATAATTTCTACCTCTATGATGAGTGAGTGAGTGAGTGAGTATGGTTTTACGCCGCTTTTAGCAATATTCCAGCAATATCACAGCGGGGGACACCAGGAATGGGCTTCACACATTGTACCCATGTCGGGAATCGAACCCGGGTCTTCAGCGTGACGAGCGAACGCTTTAACCACTAGGCTACCCGACCGCCCCACCTCTATGATGAAACCCAAGAGCATAGGTATAATGTTGACAATCCAAGATATCAATCAAGGAAACTGAAATGGAACCCATCATCCTGGCATGCCTGAGGTTTACAACTCTGCAAGCTAACTGTGCCACTCTAGTCCCCATGTAAAGGGGCATGTGGTTAATCTCACGGCAAAAGTTCCGAATCTCAAATCTTCTTAAAAAAGGACAGACTCAAACAACTGCAAATACTTACAAAGGAGTAAAAATAATATTTCCAAAGCATTACAATTATTACAACATAAATATGGGTCAGAAATGTACTCAAGGAGTATTACAGTCTTCAACTTTAGCCGCTAGCCTGAGTCAAATAAAATTTTATTTGGTCTAGTCAGCTCAGCTAATAATAGTCCATGTGATAACTCGACTGAAAATGATGCGTAGAGCCATGTTCAGTCTAGTGACTCAGAAAGAAATCCCACAGATTGAAAGTTCTTGCATCAAGTCTCTCCTTCATACCTTTTTCAACCCTTCTGCCTTCTTGATGGCCTCAATTTTGGTCACAAAGTCCGCAGTATTGACCGCTGTTGGACTTGAGAGAGAGGCCTTGGTGTGCTTCAGGGCTTCTGCATTGAATACTGTCTTCTTCAGGTTGCCAACGGATGATGTGTACACAATACCCTGTAGGAACAAAACGTTGCTTTTACCTCACACAAAGGTTCTGGTGTCTATGACAAACTGAATGAATGGAATCTACTTGAAACAACTCATAGCTGTAACAAAATTCATCAAAATATCAGTAATTTAGCTTGTGCCTGTAAGCATGTAGCTTGCCACTTACTTGGCCATGGGCCAATATACAAAACGATATGAGCATCAGTGTTCTGCTGGGAGCATTACAGCATTGAATAACCTCACATGGGACACACACCAAAATGCATAAAACACATCAGGCTCAAATCATAGTATGTAATAAATGATTTGTTTGTTTGTTTATTGTTTTCAGCGCACTCAGCAATATTCCAGCTATATGATGGTGGTCTGTAAATAATCGAGTCCGAGACGGCCAATCCAGTGATTGACATCATGAGTATTGGCCTACACAATTGGGATACGATGACATGCATCAACCAAGTCAGCAAGTCTTACCACCCGATCACGTTAGTCGCCTCCTACGACATGCATGGTCGCCTTTTACGGCAAGCATGGGTTGCTGAAGACCTATTCTACCCAGGATCTTCACGGATCATGTAATAAATTAATAATAAATTTCAAGACATGACATAGAACATGGTAGAATGTGATTATCATGTGAAGGCACCTAACAAGCAGATTTGGTTGCATACTCCCCATGGAGTTGGGACTGTAATAGGAGTGCACATTGATTAGAAAACCCCAATAAAATAATGGCATTTGCTTTAATTGTACATGCTGTCAAATCTCTTGTCATGTTATTGGCCTATTAATATGATTTCACATGCAAAAAGCAATCGTGTCACTACCTTGTCTATTGGTGATTCAGGGTTTTTTGTCCCTGAGTTGTTCAACTTGAGTTTACTGGCTGGTGGTACACCGAGACGGGCTCGAGCTGGGATGCGGAGCTGGTCGGGTGTTGGTAAACTTTCTTGGGTGGTTGAGAACTGGAGAGAAAGGGGAATTATCAACTGATTTCTGATTGCATTCTTATCATTCCTTAGGGCCTACACAAACATGTGATCTCCATAATATATGCCTTGGCCTCAAGAATCATGCAACGTGGTCAATGTGAAGCTTGCTGAACATAAAATCAAGTTTGAAATTAATAATGAAACAAGAAAAGCCTGATATTATGTTCTATTTATTTGTTGGATAAGGCCATGCTCAGCAATATCAAAGCTGTATGCTGGCGGTCTGTAAATGATAGAGTCTGGACCAGATAATTCAGTGATTGACATCATGAGCTTTGATCTGGGATACAATGACATGGTGTTGACCAAGTCACCAAGCCTGACCACCCAATCCATTTATTCATCTCTTATGACAAGCATAGGTTGCTAGGGACCTATATCCTTACCCAAAATCAAGGTTAAATCCTAATGATAAAGCTGATAGATCTAGAGTGTGGGGTATTAGATTTGTGAGTGAAATAATGTTCACTCTTTATCATGGCGGCCTATAAATTACTGCTTGTAAGTCTGACCAACGATCCACTCCTTCAGGGCAAACCTAAAATCAACAACATCTCAAACATCTAAACAATGCAACACTGCAAAGAGACTTTGACAGTGGAGATCATAGATTCACACATCTAAATACTGGAAATTGGCCTGTTACCGTAACAAGGACCTTCTGCTTGAGATTCTCCTGCTGCTGCTGCTCATGCTTCTGTATATTCTGAGCCTTGAGCACCTCCGGATCCGTCTCCACGGGTTTCTCCATCTCCTTCTTCTTGTGCCAGAACACCTTGATGAAACGATTGTTGAACACCGGCTCACTGCTCTTATAGGCAGCATGAGCTTCACCATTGTTGCTGAACGTCACTAGAGCTCCCTCAGGGTCTCCCTCGAAGCAAATCTAAAACCAGAGCACGATCATTCTCATACTGGGGCATGTCGCATCTTAGCACAAGAGATTCAGCATGTTTTGTATGAATGTCTATGCCCCAATTGGAAGTGGATATGTCACAAAGGCATGTAAAGTAATGACGTCACACCAGTATTCTACTTATATATGCAGAAGAGATGGCGAGAGCTGCACTTGGACCCTGTAAGTAGCAGTGTCCAAAATAGATGCCAATTCGCCATCCCATGACAGGGAGTTCTGTCTGGAAAGGGGAATTTACTCCTGCCTGTCAGGCTATCCAGTAGAAAATTTCAGCACTTAACATGTGTTAAACATGTTGAAGTAACAAAACAGGAGCTCTGTAACTTCCAGTAAGTGTGTGAACAAAGACTACTAGTTTTCACTCCCAACACGATTCATTAATGCGACTTGCCTGTTATGAAAGTTGCAGGCCCTTAATTCCACACTGATTGTAGATAATAATTATTTATAGAGACTCCAGTAACTAAGTGTGACCAAGTAGAAATAATCTTCTTAAGTTCTAAATCTGCTCCCACTACTTTGTGCACTGTACCTGAACATTAACAAGTGTTCCAAACTTTCCAAAATGCTCGTTCAGTTTGGCAATGTTGTTGAATTCCTGTGGGACTTTTCGTACTTCCAGAGTAGCATTTTCATTATTATATTGTCGTCTGAAACCTGTAGGCAAAAGAAGATGACATTTATTACAACTACTCCTCAATCAGCAATATAATGAATTAACCCTTAAAGAGCTTTATCACAATCCCCCGCCATGGTGCACATTGGGATTTTGTTTGTTCATATAGAAGTGAATATAAACTATAAAAAAAGAGTCCTATAAAAGCCTTAAGAAGAAATAGGCACTTGGGTCGCTTTGTGTCATTAGAAAAAGTAATTAAATCTGAACTAACACACACAAAAGGTCCCTTCTCTGTAAAAATAACTCAGTCTTGATAAGTCTTAGATAAGGCTAAAAAAAAATAATAGTCTTGCTTCTCAGGCACCACCTGCATCATCATGAAGTCTGCCGCACATTTTGTTTTTATTTCCATTTTAATTTTTTTTATAAAAACACAATGCACAAAAAAAATTGAAAATGGAAACAAAAACAAAACATGCAATAAACTTTATGATGATGTGGGCAGTGCCTGAGATCCAAGACTGTTATTTTTTTAGCCTAAGCTAATTTCAGCACATGCACCAAGTAAAACAACAAGTATCTCACAGTTAAGTATGCTAACTTTCATTCAAGTAACTTCAGTAGTTTCTGAGAAAACATGTCCCAGTTGCACACACAAGGCACTATATAAATAAGCATGAAATACTCATATCCCCCGCAATATGTGCAATGTGTGCAATGCATTAGCTCCTGTGAACTATGTTGACTGGGCCTTTTTGTAAATGGCCTAATTTGCAGCACTAAAAAAACTTATTACTGGTGTTGTTCCCATCTGCAGTTTATGATAGAATATGTAACTGTATTTGGAATGAGTAAGGATGAGACAAATGGACAAACAACTTCTTTATTACAATTAGGATCGATGATTTCTGTGTAGGTTCTAACACCGTTATCAAGCAAGTGAAGTATGGTTGACAAGAATATATACAGGATAGGAGGCAGTGTTTATACAGTTGATTACGTTGAAGATCAGTTACACTGTTGTATTTGTAATGAGTTGTGTTTCTGCATAAAGTTAGTCAATGAATGCAACAACCGTGTCCATGACACTTTTGGAGGAACATACACACAAGCAATGCAGAACTTAGAATGGAAGAATGGAAATGTACTCAATACTGTGAGATGACATTATGTGCCAAGTTTGTTGAAGAAATATGGTACGGTTTTCAAGATCTGCTCCGGAAACAAGGATTACCGCCATTTTCAGTCGAAATCAAAGTCGTTGCCATGGAAACTCGTAAAAATTTATTTTTTTTGAATCCCAAACTATCAAAAGGCACTAGTTCACCACTAGACCTATCTATGTGCCAAGTTTGGGGAAGAAATATGGTACGGTTTTCAAGATCTGCTCCGAAAACGAGGACTACCGTCATTTTCAGTGGAAATCAAAGTCGTTGCCATGGAACCTCGAAAAAAAAAATGTTTTTAAATCCCAAACTATCAAAAGGCACTAGTTCACCACTAGACCTATCTATGTGCCAAGTTTGTTGAGGAAATATGGTACAGTTTTCAAGATTTGCTCCGGAAACGAAATGTGACGGACGGCACCCATTCCTATATCATCCTTCCACTTCGTGGTGGGGGATAATAACATGGATCAAGGGCAGTAACTCTGTAAAGAATAATTTAAGGCACAAATGGCGGGGTACACCAGAAATGGGCTTTCACATTTTCATTGTACCCATGTGACGGCGTAACTAGCGAAAACTTTAAACAATAGAAAGCATGTAGGAAGGGCCATAACTCTGTAAAAACTGAATTTACAACACCAATTTTTGAACTTATTCGAGATCATGACCAGTAACAATTTCATTTCTCTGACTTAAATAGTTTTTGAGAAAATTTGTCCCCTTTGAGAAGACAAATAGACAAACAGCAGGGGATAATGATCAATTCCAATCAAGACCCTGTGGGGATTCTGGATTAGAATAGGTTTCAAGCAATCTATGCTGGTTGTAAGAGGCAATGGTGACTTGTTCTATTGTGTGCCTTCGTACCCGGACAGCGTGGATAGTTGCTCACAATATCAATCATTGGATTGTCTTGTACAGTCTCAATATATGCAGGCGGCCATCATACAGCTAGAGTCTTTAATATCCATCAAACAACACACACAAATGATTCAAGATCCATTGGAAAAGTGTACAAAAGGCTTGAATGACAGATAATAGAACATACATTGATTGATACAACATAAGCAAATTACAAACATAAATTTCAACAATGGTCATATTAGATTTGCTTCATTAGACAGTCAGCAGCAATATGCTAGCCATATGATGGTGGCCTGGAAATAATTAAGTTTGGACAAGACAAACCAGTGATTACTGTTATGAGAGACATTCCACATCATCAGGTTAGTTGACATATTACCAAGTAAGTCACCAAACCTGACAACTGATCTATTAAGATGCCTCTTAGTCCGGACTAATGACGATTTTATAGTGCTAGCCTACTGAGATACCATGCTGCAATTTAACATGGCTACCCTACTCTGACACTGAAAACTGACTCCTGGACAACAAGTCCTTGTTTAAGCCCTTTAATGCTATGCACCAGGCAGTGAAACAACAGGTACTATCTTTTAACACAATGTGGTATAATGCAACCAGGGATCGAACCCACAACATTTCACTCTTCGGGCAGACACTCTACTACCAGACCACGGAGCGGTCTCATCGCTTATTGCAAAAATAGGTTCGACAACTGTAGGACTAATTAACCTAAAATCCCCACATATATGTGGACACAAACATTATATATGACATACCTCCTAGCCTTCCATAGTCAAATGGTTTCTTTGCTGGAGACATGTATCCTCTGCCCCGCCCCCGGCCCCGCCCATAACCCTCCATCATTCCATGGGTGCGCTTCTGAGGAATCACCACTCTTGATGACACAGTGGGATGTGGCGGGGAGTTGGACATCGTCTCATGCTTTCCTAAGATAAATACACACACTGTCAAATATTTTCAAGAGCTACACTAGTTTACTATGATTCATTCCTTATTCAGGTAATTGAAATTTAAATCATATTAACTTCTAATTATGCACCTCACGAATTAGATACATTTTGTGTGAAGTATATGAAAATACATCTTCTTTAAAAATATGATTTCAATTTAAGGAAGTAAAGGATCAGTTTGATGTAAATATGCAAGTGTTTTGTTGTCATGGTGAGTTAACATGAAATATTGTAAATGAAAAAACTTATTTTGATAAATTCTATTACAACAATCTTGGTATGGGGCTTCAGAGTAAGACATGCAAATTTTACCTTCCAGTTCTTCTGGTGGGGACTCGGGGAGGGTGGGGACCTGGACAAGATCCCTCTGTCTCTGTGCCTGGGGGTTGAAGAAAGGTGCTTGGGAACGAGGACCCCGCTGGTTTCCCCAGAAACCTGGAGGTGGACGAGAAGTGAGTGCAGGAGCGTCTGGATTGTAACCCTCACCTACAACAGGTGGAAAACAATAATTAACTGACGATTTACTTTTTGCAAGACTACTGAATAGAGTCAGACCTTCTTATGCTTCAGCCATTATGCTAATTCATAAAACAAATAAAATATAATTAGGATTCTCATAAGAATAGAGTATCAAATGTCTTGTTTCTTGAAAAGTAAAACTGAGACTTACCACCAGGCCCTGTCCTTGGTGGGTGGGATGGCATGTGTCTTGTCCCCATAGTTCCTGGGGGTGGGGGACCGGGAGGGGGAGGAGGCCCTTGGCCCGGGGGAGGTGGGAACCGTGGGCCTCCAGGTACACCTGGTGGAGGTGGCGGTGGTGGTCCTGGGGGTGGTCCAGGTGGCGGTCCAGGCGGCGCCCCTCTACCTCCAGGTCCTGGGGGAGGGGGACGTGGGCCAGAGCCGGGTCCGGAAGTTGGTGGCGGTCCTCCTGGCACAATGATATACAATTGACAGAATTGGTGGTGTCCTAATTCAAAACTGCCTTGCACCAACAAAAGTATGTGTGTGTATATGTGTGTGTGTCTGTTGCTTAACGCCATACTCAGCAATATTACAACCATATGACGGAGTGCTGCAAATAACCGAGTCTGGACCACGCTATCTTGTGATTGACATTGTGAGCAACGATCCACTGTCAGGGTACGATGATGTGCTATCAACCAAGTCTTCAAGTCCGACCAGCTGATCCATTAAGTTACCCCTTACGTCCAGTATAGGTTTCTGGGGACCAATGAAACTTAATTTCTAACCGCGAATCTCAATGTTAACACTGTGGGAAGACTAAAGTGTCCAAAATGCCTAATGTCTAAGTGATCCCTGCCACATTTGTATAGTGACTTGAGTGCTACGACAATCAGCATTCAGAGCATTCACACATGCCAGGTAAACAACGTCTGGGCCAAGCAAACCAGAAAATATTTCATGCTTTTCCGTAGGACAAAGCGACATAGCAAACTATTGATGTATTGCAATTGTTTTCCCTATGTTTGTACAATATATCAATAGGAGTATAAAAAACACTGATGTTATTGTCGAAAGTATGCATAACAATTGATTGATTCAATAATCGCAATCAGCGATGATCAGTTACAAATAAAACATGAATTATAAGGAAACTCAAACATTTGAATTTGAAACCTGCCATATCTTAATTAGCAAGAGTTACTTCCCTTTTTTCTGAGTAGCAACAGGGAGGAAAATGCCTGACTTTGACATTGTCAGCAATACTTTATTCATTTCTATTACTGTGACTAATATAAGTATTAAGTTGTTTTACTGCTATCATAATACTATTGTACTAGTTGACAACCATTGCAATACGATCACAGTAGTGAAAATGGCCCTAATAGTCACCCCTACCATCTGTTTATATAAAATAATCAGGCCAGATTACACATTGTTTGTTTGTTTGTTTGTTGTTTAACGCCGCACTCAGCAATATTCCACTTATATGATGGCGGTCTGTAAATAATCGAGTCTGGACCAGACAATCCAGTGATTAACATCATGAGCATCGATCCACGCAAATGGGATCGATGACATGCTTCAACCAAGTCAGCAAGCCTGACCACCTGATCATATTAGTCATCTCTTATAACAAGCATAGTCACCACTTATGGCAAGCATGGGTCGCTGAAGACCTATCCTCTATCCGGATCTTCATGAATCAGATTACACATTGTGACTCTGATTCTCATTATTGCTAACCCTTACAACAAGAATGGGGTACAAGGTACAAGGATCTATTTTGCTCTTGAATCACAAAAGAGTTAAAAGATCTGCAAACACGTTTTTTATCAGTTCCTGTCAAATCCCAGTGATAAAGAAATGAAAGGCCATTTTATGCATAAAACGGGTAGAGGTGAGGTAAAGGCATAAACAGTTATTTATGATATTTTTGTTGATTTTCTTTCATGATGGCTACAATATTCCACCTATATCAATGCAGCATGTAAATAGATCAGTCGGGCAAACCAGTGACTGATAGCATGATCACCCTCTACAAAGTCAGGATACAATGACAAGCAATTAGCCAAGCCACAAGGCCTGACTAATGATACCCATTTTAGTTGGTTCTTTAAGATAAGCATGAGTTACTGGAGACCTATTCATGATGTAACAAGGTCAACAGCCCTTGGAAAGTAACAGTAAAATACAATGGCTCTGTGTTTACACAACAAACAAGGTCCAACAAACAAAACTTCATACCGAGAGATGGTGGAGGAATGGACATGTTAGGTATAGCTATGTCCTCCACAACAACAGGGTCAAGGCCATGGTCAAACGGACAGAGGTCACCACGCATACAAAATCCCTTTTCTGAAACAACAAGATACAGTGCATTATGTACTGGCCAACAAACTAAGACATGGACATAATAATACAAGAAATGAATGCATGTCATCAATGATTAATGGAGGACTTTTGGAGGATTAATGGAGCCTGAGACTGTTTGTGGCAAATAAGTTTTGAAAGTAAAGTTCTAACACCAAAGTTGGGATTTAAACAGTCAAACACCGATGTGTCAGAAGTTGAAGGCATCTACGTAAATACTTCCCATTATCCCAAGATTTACACAACCAAAAATGATGAATATTGAAGGCAAATGCAGGGACTAAGCTCTTACTTGGAGACAACCGTATGTTCAACACATACGTGTTTGACTGAATATACTACTCAACATTTCCTATGGATCACACCTTTGACTAAAGATGATTCTTTTGGTCCTTAGCAAATATTGATAGGTATATTACTTGCTCAAGTGTCCCCAGAATCCCCTAAAAGACAAACCAAGGGCCTAATGCGCCCTTTGAATCTCAAAAATGGGACTTGCAATGGACACTGGGTGAGTCCCCACAAGAATAAAACAAATGTTGATAGGTATATTACATTTGAATGATGTTATCCGGAGTCCCTAAAGGAATAAAACCATGGGGCACTAGGGACCTGATATTTTCTGTAGACCCAAGACAACAGTTGCAAGATTCATCAATGACTCTACCATCATAGTCTCTGCATCTAGGTCGGGACCCAGGTGGGCCAGGTGGGCCAGGTGGGCCGGGGGGTCCCGGCGGCCCGGAAGGAGGTGTGTCTCCTTGCTGCTGCTTGTCTGCATGGGCAATTGATGATGCTACACTCTGAATGGTTGGGATGGCACTTGCATTTGAGTATCGGCCATTGTCCAGGGTGGGAGTTGATCCCCGACTGTCTGGCTGGCGGCCTGAAATGATAGTTCACCAGTGATGTCATGTATCTGATATTCCTTTTCCCCTAGCTGTTGAAACTATCCCTTTCTTTGCATAGCTTGCTTAAGATAAATATTCCAAACTGCAAGTTATGTGATAAAAATTCCATACAAGAAAATAACCCTACCCTTTGACCTTGACCGGGATCGAGATCTGTTTCTGCTCCAAGACCGTGACCTCGACCTTGGACTTCTAGACCTATCACGTGATCGGCCACGACCTCTCGGAGGTGACCGTCTGTCTCTTCTCCGAGGGCTGGGCGTTCTGCTGCGTCTTCTACTGTAGCGCCCTCTTTCAGGGGAGTATCTAGACCGGTCATAGCGATGTCTCCGATCATCTCGCCTAGACAAAAGAAAATGTATACAAGTCCCTACAACCTGTAAGCCAATGGTCCTCTGACCAATATCAAAGAGAAACCTTCCCTTGTCGCCTTAGTAATGCTTAGTTGTCCATTAATTTCTAGTTCAGCAAATATTCCAGCCATATCACAGCAACTTGTAAATATCTGAGTCTGAGCCAAACAAATCATTGGTTGTGGCACAATGACACCCAAGTCCAACCACATGGTTTATTTTAGTTAGACCATCCTGGAATAAGGTAATAAGTAATTGAGGATAATTCTTCTCTGGTGTGACTCATTGCATTTAACTTCTTAAATTCTATCCTTGTGACAGACCTGTATTAATAGTGATATTAATAAAGAGATTAACAAAAAACAACAACCCCAGTGGCATTATCATCTAACATAGCTTTAGGTGCACTGACAGACTCCCAGTATCTGAATCACTGCAGGTTCCACGTGACCCTATGAAACATGCTTGCCACAGCCTGGCTACAAGTCAATAAGCTTCTCATACACATCAAAAAGTAAACCATGAGATGTTCTCAAGACAAAATCACTGCTGGCATGTTGGTAAACAATTTAAAAACCTGCCGCGGCTAGTGAGTGATGTAACCTTGCCTATGTTCGTGACGAGGGCGGCAAAAGAGAGGCGGGGAGCTCACTAGGCGCCGTGACACGGGAGGAGTCGGCAATTTTAGGTTGATAGGTATCAGGTAACCTAATGGGTGCTCTGTCCTTGTGGAATACTAGCAGGTTCAGATCAGTTAAAAGCATGAATATAGCCTATTCTGCGTTTTGAAGTAAGAGCCACAAGAAACAACCATTCACATGTCACTAACCTCAATGGAAGAGAAGAAAGAAGTAGCAATTGAGGGCCACAAGGCCAATCAAGTACAAGTGACATATCCCATCGCACAAATCCTGTCAACTATTTCTAAAAAGCGCTGTACAAGAGGGTGGTGACCCTGAGTAACACCACTGACCAGGTTGTGACATGTGGAAATAGCTGTCGAGTAGCCCCGAATGGTGGCGGGAGCTAATCCTTCATCCAAACAGGATTGGAGAAACTCGGAAACTTGGCTTAATACCGCAGAAAGGGATCATCTATCCTCATACTGAATGTTTGTGTAGTCCTGCCTTGAAACCAATATCGTGTTTGCAACTGCCAGCGAAATGCATTGATATTGCAAACAAGAGCAGAGAACGGCCAAGCCACCCATTGAATCAGTGGCTTTGGGTGAGTGAACGAGCCTTGAGCCTCAGAGCTGAAGAACCTGAGAAAACCTCTCACCATAGATGGGTGATAAACAGGAGCTGTCAAGTCGGCTTGATGAGCAACAGTGAGAACCTTCGGAATTATGGGTTTCGGGAGGAGGAAACGCCCATAGGGTAATCCCGATCCAGTTTAACAGAAAGGCATCTGTCCCCAGAGCCTGTTCAGCTTGGATCCGAGAGCAAAACATCAGAATCTGACAGTTCACCTCTGAGGCCAAAGATCCACCTGAGATGGACCTTACAATATCTGCAGACAACAGAACACATTCCTGACCGATATCCACTCATGTGGAGCATTAGACCCCAGACTGAGTGCATCTGCCCAACTCAGTGTCAGTCAGTGATTTTCAAACTATAGTTGCATGTGTTGTTATAGTTGACAAGAGAGATTGCATTATAGTGTTTTTATCTAATAGAACAAACTGGCTCATGGCTCAGTGTTGTCTCAACAACTTGACAAGATGTGGCTCCATGTCTCCATTTTGAAGGTGGGGATATATATAGTTTTGTATTCAGTGGCTTCAGATTCAGTATGGGTTGGAAGCCTCCATCTTTTTTGGCCACCAGGAAGTATATCAAACAAGTTTCCTTCCTGACCCTGAGGTAATATCTCTATAGCTGCCTTTACCAAGAGCTCGGCAACCTCTGAACAAAGAACTTCTGCCTTTGTCTGGTCCACCAGATCATGAGTAGAGCAAATGCCCTGAAAGGCAGGCGGATGACCTCGCCAAGTTGGCAAATGGTCGTCCCTGACCGTGGACAAGATCAAGGGATTGTTGGTATCCCTCTCCCATGCTGAGGCACAGAGGGAGAGACGACCACCAACTGACACAGACGGAAGCAGACTTCGACATTCATAGTTTGGCCCTCACTCTATGAAGGTTCATACTCCAATGAACTTACACAAAGTGAAGGTCAATTATTAATGAGTCTCCCTGGAGAAGAATTATACGAAAATTACTAAAAATGTTGCTATGTCAAAAGTTATGTGTTCTCTTGATACATTACTGACATACCATTCAACAAAATACATCATACATGCTTTACTCAAATCTGAAACCATTTCTTACATGTCTCTTCCTCTAGATCTAGGACTTGCCGATCGAGATCGTCTTCTCTTGGAATTGTCCCGACTGCCATCATCAGATATCTGGACAACAATATTGAAACATGGTCAATGGTCTTTCTCTGGCACCATACTATATCACTGTGACATTTGAAACAACCCTTGGGACACTTTTGGCAACAATGTAATTAATGTACCACATATACACCGAGTATATATATATATATACACACACTACTTCTGTCATTAAATCTAAGTAAAATAAAACGCAAATAATCATTTACTTCTAGCATTCCAAATTAAGTGCCCTTGGTAAACAAATTCGGGAAAAACAGCATTGTTTTAATCATCTTCATTGTGCTTAGTTACCTAAATTCAGATGTATCTTATCACTGCCATACCATATGACTACTTTTACTTGTTTACTGGTTCTGTTATCAGTGAAATGCAAGCAGTCTCTGCAAAGACATGATGTCAGTCTTAATAACTATCATAATATGAATTGGGGCATTTTCAATTCAGGTTTGAGATTTGAGAAATCTGAATGCACAATGCAAATAACTAGGAACAAATAACATAATCCATGGTACCTGTTTTTCTGGCCTGTCTTTCTTCTTGTCAGCTTCTGGTGGTATGGTCGGCAAGTTGTTGGTTGTCTGACTGGGGACTGTAATGACTGCAGGTGTGTTGTTGACAGTATCAGGCACTATAGATGCCAGGTAGGATTTTGATTTCAATGCAGTGAACAGTGTTTCTACAAATGCCTTTGTTTCTGAAAAATGTCAGTAAAATTGGGGTATGAAATTCAATCAATGACAATTACAGACAACAAAATTCCTTAAAACAAATTGCTGTGTTTCACAAGTGTGATATTTATCCCGATGCTATGGTTGCGATAAAATTTTATCCTGATACACTACTTTTATTTTATAAATAGATATTCCATCTTATCGCAGGTGAATCACAACCCCGAAGCAATTGTTTTTAAATTTCAGAGATCAAAGATGGAATATTGTAGGAAAGAAACATATAGGCTAGAAGACATTCTGAATGTTAATTGTTACGCTATTTATAGCCAATATAAAATATTAGTGAGTCAACGCAAGCTGATTGTTGAACAGCTGACTGTTGACATACTTGACTGCAAAAAGACATCAAGCTGGTCCATACAGATGTCCTTGAGTTCAAGTTCTGACTTTTCTTTCTTGACCAAAGCCAATACATAGCGAGATAAGGTGGATGGGTCTGCATCACAGCTGTTGAAAGAAATGGACATGATAATGATGGACAAGCATCATCATCAAAAGTCATAGGACTAGACAATTGCCCATGGGCAGTCCCACTATGTTTAATTCAAGTCACACAGCTTACACAACTTAACCATGTTAACTCTTTTTGTCTGTTCACTCAAAATAAAAGATATATATATGTATTAACTATGATGTATATCGCTATCGGAGACAACATAGCATCAGTTTATTATTTTCGATGCCCCAATTACTCTAAGACAAAGATTTGGTTGTATATGACTGTCTATCTAGGAATGGGCAATAGACTGGAGCACCACATCCTTAAGAAATGTAGAGGCAGATTAACCAGAAGTTTGGTCATCATGGTCAATATATAGTAAGGGTGTGAGGTATTACTGGCATACCGGTATACTGATGTTCACTCTTTCCACAATGTCATTTTTTAATGCTTAGTATATTGGGATATTTCAAACAGCAATTTTTATCATGTGTATAATGATTAGAATTTCCCAATTACCCGGGTAGTGCATTCAGAGCGTGCATTCGTGCGTGTTTATTGAATTAGTAAACATTATGTTGTTCCAGCAGCTTGTTTTGATACATTTATGAACTTTAATTCATACAATGGTGTTTCAAATGGCTTCTTAATTCAAAAAGTTAGAATTATACAATATATTGTGATGCGTACCACAATACGACCTTGTGCATTGTAAAATATTGTGATACACTTCCAACCTCAAATACCTATCTCTAATATATAGGTGGTTCAAAACAGTTGCCATGTACTGATCATGTTGATCCAATTCACTTTCAGTCATCCAACATCTGTTGATCACTAACACTACGTAATAGTAATACCTAGTTACGAATCCCTCCCAGATGGCTAAAATGCTATCTTATTTTCACTTGTCCACAAAAATAATTTGCAACTAACCAATGGTAAAAGAAGTAGTCCACAAAGATATATAGCTGTTCATACAGTAATAGGCTATTACCAGTCTCAGATTAGTGATCTAATGTTAAATGTCAAACCCTGTCCAGTAGTTTTTGTTCTTATGAAGCATGATGATAATTTTGCACCAGACTTCCCAAACTCTAAGAACGACCGTGAACTTCCCAAACCAATGTATTATATCAACAGTAATGTTCCTGTTTCTTGCAGCCACATTACCTCAGAATACTAACAGGAAAAGAAAACCCATGTATTTCGGTTGGGCATAACAGGTTCATAACTTTCAACAAAACATATTCAGTCAAATTATGTGATGTACTTGATTCATGGTTTGGGAAGAAGATGCCCTCTGAACGAGCTTATAAAGCCAATTGCAAAAATAGATTCAAAATAAGAATGTTACTGCAGGAGAGATTCGTAGGAATATAGTTGCGAGCAGTAAATGTTTTCGCAGTTGTACTTGTCGAAACATAAGACTGATTTACATTTCTGCAACAAATATGGACTTCTCGATGTTCCACGCGAATGTATAAACATACATGGAGTGACAACTTATATCCCATTAAGTAAACAAATCCCGAGTTTCTAATATAACATGTTACAATCACTATTTCGACTAGGCTAAAACTCACATTGGATCCAGTGTTTTCGATAGCCACACTTTGAAAGCATCCAGATTTTCAATAATCATTGTGATGTTCTGCTACGTTAACGCCTAAACTTGCTCATGCGGGTCTAAAATATGGCGAATACACAACAATCGACAAGTTCCTCGTCAGGAGACGATTACATGTTTCCTCATACTCCAAATAACATATTTCCGAACGTTACAACTGCTGAAGAAACTCGCCGAATATGGCTGCTCACGAATCTCGTTTTAGGTCACGTGACAAATAACTGTTTTCTTCCATCCGTCTCCCCAGGGGGTAATTAGGTCATATTCTCATTCTTGTCAGCTATAAAGGTACCGCCGATATAAACATGACAATACGAAAAAGTGACACGTAAAGTATTTGTTTATATAACGGCCCGTAAATTAAAGGCGGTAAACGAGATTTCGTGAGATCATAAAAGTGTCATGGCTGCAACCATGTGTGTTTGGGATAATACGTTTTCTTTCACGTTTTTAACTTCATAAACAGAAATGTCGAAAAAACAGAAAGGTCGAAAGACCGATTGGACCGAATGTGTGAAGTGTAAACTAATTGTCAGTGATCGTGATGTCAATATTCACAGAGAGCAATGCGGCGTCCAAAGTTGCAGTCATGGTTTTGTGAAAGACGGTATTTTGAATGGAGTTATCTCCCCCTTCTTGGCTTCAGCAGGTGGGCTCAATGAGTGAAACAAAAATGTGGAAGAATTACAAAACTGTGGAAAATAAAAAATATATTTAGATTCATTTCAGTGTTTCTGCTGATCCAATTCAAGCAGCTTCCCACATATCATTTGACCTGTCAATATAGAAAAACAAATTAATAGATCTATTAGAAATCCACAATATTTTAAAGAAAAAAATCAATATTAGAAACCCACACAGACAGCTTCACCAAACATGGATGCATCGTTTTGAAACAGGTTGCATGTTGTAATCATGAGTTTGCATACAATCCATAGCAAGATGAATGTCTGAGGCAGTTAGAGTGTTGTAATCACTTCTAGCATTGGCCTGTAGTACAGGCTGTACTCATAATAAGAATACTGTAGATACAGCCACATTTGTCAATGGGATGTTTAATTATTTTGCTGTACTCCATTTATGTGCTATACATTCATAAAACAATCAAATATCGCATACTTAGTCAGGTATGTGTATAATTATAGACAGTGTTTGAAATTCAGATCATGGTTCGAGGCACAAATGCAAGCAATGCAAGCAAATTAATGATCAAGTGCCCACCTTGTGGTAATGATGGAAGCTGAATACTTCATAAATGTCATCGGTATCATTGCCTCATTGTGAATGTTAAAAGGACACTGATCTCTGACAATTCACCAGGACTGGTTGTGGCCTTTGTTATTGTTTTTCCTGTGGATATCTGGATGATATACCAGAAATATTGACTTGTTCGTGACCTGTGCTGTGCCAACCCTAAGCACATTTATTGCTTTTATTGATAGTATAAGGGTATATCGTCACATTGATCAGCAAAATGAAATACATTTTTGTCTTGGAAATAATAAGGAAATGTAGGTAGCTTTTGGGGTAGCATCGGTAAAGGTGACAAAGGTTTGATAAGACACTTGCTTCGTACACTATTTTTACTTGTTATACAAACTAAATATTTCACCTGAGCATTGCTCATTTTATCGTGTGTATATGTTTATGTCAATGTGTTAAATGACTCAAATTTTCACCAAGGTAGTTTTGTTAACGCCTAAATGTACAGTTATTTTACTAATTGGCTATAAAAATGTGTTCATTAACAGTTCAAATATTTTGATGTTTAATTTCATCACCCAGTGACTGAAAATAATAGGATTAAAAGAAAATGAAAGACAAAGGACAGTTCTATTTGTTTTGGCTTCTAATCCTAGTATAATTAGTCCATTGTGGTGTTTTTAAGCCCTGTTGAACATGTCAGTTGTTTTTAGTCAGTCAAATGGACATATTTTTCAGTTAATGTCTTGCATCAAAGATCTTCCCAACAAAAACTAAGAGGAACAAGAATGATTATGTTTAATGCTACTGCAAATGAATGAAAACAAATTGCAAATATCGTAATTACAACCGACCAAAGTTATGTGTATAATATTGGGCAGTTACCTTGTTTGAGGAATGTATACGTAAATATCCACATAAGGAATAATATCCCATATTGTCTCCATCTGTACAAAGAAACTTGTTCGATGCTACATGTTTTTGGAACAACCTAATATTTTAAAATATATATAGCGTTCTTGGATATTTTAACTTGTGTTCCTTTCTCGACTGATCACATAAGTTTGTTTCAGGTGTTTCACATTGGTGTCAAGTCTCCTTGGTCAGCTGAGATAGTACACATGACAACTATGTTCATGATGTCCATGTATCTTTAAAAAAATCCATTGAGTTAGATAACAATGAGCTTTCAATCAACATGTTATCTGTAAATCTTTTGAACAAAATATGTTGCTTTGACATCGGCAGTTCACACCCTGGCAGATATGGGTGCATTCCGTCCGCTTTAATAAACCTACACATGTTAACAGTATCTTTGGACAAGTCCACTGTGCAAGTTAACAGTCATTAGTCAATCAACATATTTTTGGTTAATCCTTTGATGGATGTTTTTTTTGTAACTGAACTGATCACTCCTCTCTTGCTACGCTTTCACGTGCATATTACATAACACATATGTCACCCCGACTTCAGACTTGGATTTAGATGGAATAATTACCCCAGACACAAGAACTGCCAAATGGGAACCTTTGTCAGGTAATCTGATTAGTGCTACCACTAATTATACCTGTAATATATTCAGGAACTGAGCATCAAGTGAATGATGACGAATACAACGGTGTAGGGTTATACCAGGAAACATGGCTGACAACAAGGGAGGAGTGATCATATTATCCATGCAATCTAAGATCTGAAATGCTTTCTCTGCAGGGATACTTCAAAGCTTTTTGGGGCGGTTGGGTAGCCTAGTGGTTAAAGTGTTTACTTGTCATGCCGAAGACCCAGGTTCGATTCATGACATGGGTACAATGTGTGAAGCCCATTTCTGGTGTCCTCCGCCGTGATATTGCTGGAATATTGCTAGAAGCAGCGTAAAACCATACTCAATCACTCACTCACTCAAAGTTTTTTTTATTAAACTATAAGCATCACAGGTATTTCCTATTAATGACATCTGATGAGCTTCCGCCGTTCTCTTTGTCTGTTTGTTTAGGTTTAAGAAAAATTAATTAGCACGTGCCCTTAGTAATATTGAAATCTTCATATATCACGGGTAACGAATTAGTGTTCATATAAATATTGCCTCAAAATTTATTTAGCCCAGGCTCTTGTCACGCTCAGTTGCGTTAGCGAGCAAATTGACTTTCGGCAGCTGGTGAGCCCTAACGGACAAGTGTTAAAGAACCGAGAAGAAGCCAGAGATTAGTGCCCCTTCAAAGAAAAAACATGTAGACATGCATACCTGTAGATAGATAGTTTGATAGCTGCCATGGACATTTTTCATTCACAGGTTGCATTCTATTTGATCAGTTTGATGAACTCTTTGGAAACATTAAGTACTGTTAACAGTGATAGAAATTAACTCCCAAAGCAAACATGCCCACAAGGCTAGTCATGCTGGTGGGAGTTTCTTTTCTGCTAACCCTGCAATATGTTACTAATCCTTTTAAAATAATGAGACTTTTAAATTGAACTTTTGATGTGACATAAATACATTCAAATATTTAGACTCGGTCAGAATATATAGATCGGGTGAACACAGAAATTTAGTACATTATTCATTACGAGAAAGACTCAAAACGATGTGTCAAATGTATAGCACAGTGATTTGACAAGGGGAATCGAGAGGACGATAAATAGTTTGCAGCATGTGTCAAAACGTACAGGCCCTACGGTTTAGTAGAATTATAATTTAAAAAGCCAAAGGTAATTTCAACTAGCCTCTGGCCAAAAGGTGAGCGTTAATTTCCATCCCTGATGTAGAGCTAGGTTTCTTGAGATGTAACTGCTCTGAATTAAATTTGGAAACCGAAAGTGCAGCATTAGGGTTCCAGTGTTAAGTTGATCATGGTTAAATCCACAGGTCACCTAGCTCTACGTTGAAGACACAGTAATACCCTGCTTATTTCGATCTATGTTGTTCAGTACATGCTTTCTGTTAATCTTACAGATCTGAAGGTGCCAAAGACACATGAGGATAACATAATTGCTGTACATCCCAGCACTATGCTACTATGTGGCCTTGCTATAGGAAAACCCTGTGTCATCAACTCCAAAGTTGTGAAGATGTGTTGGCCGTCGACTGTTGGGAGTTTAACTGGTGTCTACGTTGATGAGAAAACCTTAGCTGACATAGGCAGCAGCAAGGAGGATGTCGTCACAGTGGAAAGTTTTGGTGGGATGGAGGCACATGTTGAAGAAATTATATTAGAATCCAAGTAAGCATGAGTTTGAGTGAAAAATATGGTATTCGACGTAATTTCCCCCCCCCCCCCCCCCCCGCTCTAATAAGCGCCCAAGGCGATGTTTGCCAATATATTGGCTTGTGAACAATCCCAAATAGCACCCTTCTGACTGATCAATGTACACAATTCGTGTACATTTATTCGTGTATGATAGGCTCTTGTGTGTTATATGCACCCTTAATTACGGGCAATTAAATTCTGGAAAAATATATCTGTTGTGTATAATACGCACAGACTTTTCTTTTGTATCATTTCAGGCTGTCAGCAGAAACCATAAAATTTACGATCTTTCGACTCTTTCATCAAACCTATATTCTAATAAGAGCCCCCTATTTCTAATTTTGAGAGCGCCCTGGGCGCTTATTACGTCAAATACGGTATGCTGTATGGAAGCAGATGTTATTATAACTTACAGTGGGGATTCTGTGTTAGAATTGGTCCCCAGCATACTGTGCTGGATATAAGAATAAGAAACGACTTTATGGATCAGGTGGTCAGACTTGGTGACTTGATTGATCGTGTGTCATCGACTTTGAAGGCATGGATCATTGTTCACAATTTTCTGCTCCAAACTCGATTATTTCAAGTTCGGCATTAAACAAGAAATAAAAAAGACAACAAACAAACAAAACTTAGCAGTTTTTGTGCAGGGACATATACTTTTACAAACGATTTCCAGTCAACATTTTCAAAGTGAGCTTTAGTTTAAAAGGATTAGGACCATGGCCTCTTTCCACAAAGTGATCTTGGCGCTACAACTATTGTAAGTCAGTGTAATGTTATGGGAGTTATGATAATATCCGGGTAAGATTGCTCTGTGGAAATACTCAGGCTGACAGTGTGGAATTATAAACTGGTGCATGCATGGATCCAGAAGCGCAATGCAGAGGTGACCACGCTATTTTTTATGCATACTTAATATGTTGCCGTATAAAACGGGTGGTGAAATGGGGTTTAAAGTTGTGTTCAAGATTATTGCACTTATGGGACATGTATGTGTGTGTGTCTGCTTGTGCCAGTCAAGAGTAATGCCAGTTTTATAATGCTATTCTTCTGAGATACCATGCTGCAGTTTATCATGGATACCCAGGCATGGTCATAATCCAAGAACGTCAACCTGCCCAAATAGTGATAACATATAGCAATACCCCCAAATGTTTGAAATTCTATTATCACTTAGGATACCTTTAACATTAACTAAATTGGTCTGGGCTGACGGGCTATTGCTAATTTCTAACCCTGGTACCCCATATAGACACAGTAAACTGACTCAGAGCGGACCTGTTCTTGTTTTATCTCATTAATGCCGAGTGCCAATTAGGATAACAAAAGTATCTTTTGACGTCTTTTGGTATGACCTGATCACAGGACCAAGCACAAACTTTCTGCCTTCTGAGCAGACACTCTGTCCTTTTGAAAAAAACCATAACTAAATCATTGTTTCAACAAATAATTATATAATATACTCATCGACAAAAGAAACAGGAATGCCTTACTTCCGACTTCGCAGTGTTTTTTACCTTTCACTTCCTGGTTCGGCTTATCTGCGGGTCATATCATTTTCTTTCGTATTTCAATGGTCAAGTTAACATTTCGGCTTGTCTACGGGGTTGGCTTATCCGCGGTTATATACGGTACATGTTGGTTGATATATGAAGATTTACTCAAATTCAGGAGATATTAGATTGGTTCAATGCACAAACGAACATACTGTTATGTTGTCTGAACCGATGCTCATGAATGCATCACATGTGACGTCATAGATCCATGACTCAAGATGCACCATTTGTCTTGTGAAGGATCAGAGTATTAAGTTTGGAAATCATGTGCAGCTTATTGTGCAAGAATAAAGACTCTGTGGCAACACTTGACTGCTTGTTAGTTTTGTCATTAAGTGGTACACATGGGACACATCTATTCTTAACGGACATACTTCTCCAAATGTTCCTATGGTTTGCGTTTCTTTTGGCGGTGAGTTTCGTTAATTGAGCCATTTTGGCTGACAAATGCAAATTGTTTCCCCAACTTTATCTATTGTTTTTTCATTCTAACTTCACGCTGACCTTTAGTAATCCCAACTATTGATAATCACTTCCACAGAATTTGAACTTAGGAATGACATTCAATTGTTACAATATTTCATACTGCAGAAACATCATTGTATTTTCATTGATATGATGTTGGTTTTTGTCTGCTTTGTTGCAGAGAATGGAGACCAGTTTACTCTGATAAAAACTGCAGGAACAACTTCAAACATAAACTGTGTAAGTTACAATTTGGTGTTTTTCAAAACGACATTCAAGGAGTATTTAACATGTTCATTTTATAATGGTAAATATTATGAACATTTGAAATACTGATTTGTAATTAAGTATTATACTGTTCAATGGAAGTAGGAAGTGTGTAATTGGTAATTGAAAGTTAGGCCTCTCATGACATTATTATTGAAATGAACAGTAGGCTTGAGATCATAGTTCCTATAGGTAACAGATTATACTCTGTTTGAAGGTATTTTATATATCCATGCATTATAACAGGATGCTAATGGGCTCCTTCATAGAGTGCAACATGTCACTTAATGTGAACCCTCAGCCATGACCTCATCGTTGTATGACCATGGCAACTTCTGACTGAATATTATACAAGAGGAAGTTAATGTTTTGTTTCAGAATTTCCTTGTAAACACACACAGAGGCAGAACACAATTGAAAATTAAATATTGTCTGGGTTTATTTGCTTATGATTTCCTGAGAATCTCTTGAAATAAAGTTTCAAAAAAACACAATTAAAATCATGTTTAAAAAACAACATATTTTTGAATTATGCAGCATTTTTTATTATGCAAAATTTATACATGTAGTAGGATAAAGGGAAAAGTAAGAAAATATATTGGTGAGGCACTGATAGGAGGACCACTGACTTGAACTCATGACCAGTAATATTGTGAAACTAAAGTGAATATTAAAACTATTCCCAACATCACTAACAGGCTCATGCATTTTGTTTCAGTGAACAGATATTTGTGTGAAGGAAACAGAGTTACATTTTCATATTTTGGGCAGCTTTGTGAATTTCAAGTAAAATCCTTGAAAACAGTGGTTCATCAACCATGTCATGTTGAAGTGACACCTGTCAGTCAGCCAGATTTGTCCTTATCTGACAGCCTTGCCAGTCTCAATTTATCAGACATTTCATTCACTGAGTCGAAGGATGAATCCAGTCAGTCAGACTCCACCTGCTCCAGCATGAACCAATCAGCTTCAACACCAAAAACACCTGACAGCAAAACCAGCGCAGGGGAAATCATCAGTCCGCGATCGTTCCAAACTCCCGTTATTGATAGAAAACGGAAGTCAAGGAAATATGAGAAGTTTTGTAAAGTTGTGTCAAGTACAAAGGTGACTATAGTGGATGCCAGTGTTAGGGAGGATGTTGATGTTGCACGCGATGCTGGAGTCGTCTTGGATGACATCGGAGGCTTGTCTGAGCAAGTGAAACAGATAAGGGAGATGCTGCAGATTCCGCTAACGAACCCGGAGCTATTCAAGTCTTATGGTGAGAAAAAAATCCTATATGAAAGATTGTTTTTAATATGCATGGAATAGTCTAGTTATATGCAGGGTTTTACACGTTGCATGCTTGCCGTAACAGGCGACTATGCTTGTCGTAAGAGGCGACTAACGGGATAGGGTGGTCAGGCTCGCTGACTTCGTTGATGCATGTCATCGTATCCCAATTGCGTGGACTGAAGCTCATGATGTCAATCACTGGATTGTCTGGTCCAGACTTGGTTATTTACAGACCGTCGTCTTAAAGCTGGAATATTGCGAAGTGCAGCGTTAAACAACAAACAAACAAACACGATGCACTGCACACAAATGTATGGAATGGAGGTGAAAAGATCAATATTGCATCCCGAGGGACTTACATAATAATATTCATTGTACCTCATTGTTGACAAAGGTCCTGTAATTAAAGCAGTTAGCAAACCTTTCACTACACTACATGATTTCATTAATTTACAGGACCCTAATATTTCCTGTAGGGACCCTTGAAATTAATTATCGGGGGTCCCCTGTACCCTTAGATTTGTAGGTCAAGGTGAAACACTGTATATATGAATGGCGGTCATTATGATGCTGATGATAAAAAGGCGGATGGTGGTGGTGGATGGATGGTTGGTTGTTGGAAACAAGTGGGGAATACGAGGTTAGAGATGTTGTTATTGATGATGGTGATATTGATGTTTTTGATGATGCTTCTAAAGGTGTATATATATCAGTGATGATGATGCTGGTGAAGAGTATGTTGGTGGGTGGCTGGTTGTTCGTAACTAGTGGTGACTGATGTTGTTGATGGTATTGATGATGGCAATAGTGATGTGTATGATGAGGCTTGTGACGGTTTACTGTGTGGCTCTTCAAGCAAGGTGAATTTCTTTCACTTTATTACATCTCTCCATACTCAGGTCGTATCAACCACTACTCTTGTATCATAACGATTTGCCAATAGGCTTGACAATACAAAGTTTTGTTTTCAGCAAATTTAGTTTTCAATTCATTTCCATATGACATCAGAGATCCAGATAAACGAGCAGACTTTTAATGCATGAAATAACATAAGAGATGAATGGTGAACACTTTCCATTTTTGCACTTCTAAAGCTTATTGCATTTAACAGAGAAAATATGTCTGAAGGTTTTCTAGTGCTCGTAATTTTGCCGCCATTTTGAAAAGACAACATGGGTTACCTCCCTTGTCTATTGATTTAAGGGTTACGGTGATTTGAGTGTGATAATACCATAGCCTGGGTCATTGAAAACTCAAGGCAAAGGTGCAAATATTAAATGACGCTCCTTTCAGGAAGATTGTCTTTTCACATGTCAAATACACCTTTCAACACCTGGTAATCTGAGTGTAGCCTTGAAATTTAGTGTTGCGTGCAGACCTCATACCATTTGATGTGTAGCACAGTGTAAATGTTAACTATTGGTATTTTGTCATCTATTTTATTGATGTAATGCCATTAGATCTTTGATAATTGTGATCCAACGTTACACCATTAGTCAAATGTACAGGCTGTTTCGAAAATAAACAAACAAATAAACAATTGTCAGATATGCTGAAGCCTTTTCATGTTTCAGGCCTTGTACCCCCAAGAGGTGTCCTGATCCACGGGCCGTCCGGCACAGGGAAGACCCTGCTATCTCGAGCAGTGGCAGCCAGCCTCAACATCAGCGTCCTGCAAGTTACAGGCCCACAGATCTGGAGCAAGTATGTCAGGATGATGATGATGATGATGATGTTGACGTAGATGTTGGCGACGACGATGATGATGATGATGTTGATGGCGATGTTGTTGACGATGTTGATTACAATCATGTTGACGATGATGATGATGATGATGATGATGATGATGTTGTTGATGTTGTTGATGTTGACGTAGATGTTGGCGACGATGATGATGATGATGTTGATGACGATGATGTTGATGATGTTGATTACAATCATGTTGACAATGATGATGATGATGATTGTTGATAACAAGTTTAAGCACCATGGGTAATTAAGTTCTTTATTCTCAGATTCTTTGGAGAAACAGAAAGTAAACTGAGGAATATTTTCAAGTCTGCCCAAGAAATGTAAGTAAAAAATCAAAATAGGTTTGTTGTGTAAACTTGCTGAGTATCTGTGAAGACAAAATAAGGTAGCTGAATACTGCTTCCTCATCTTGATGTTGAGGGAATGAACAACATTATTCCAGAATATTCAGCTGAAGACAAAAACAAATATACATTGTGACAAATTACTTTCACTTGGTATATAGGTCAGTGGTTGTACACTTTGTATACTGGGTCCGTGATCTCAGGCACTACAATTCACTATGCAGAGGTGCGTCCTTCAGGTTTGCCAGGATCTGCTAATCACAGGTTAGAATTCCAGACTCATCCCGATCATGTTCCTTGTTCTGTCTGCCCCACATGTTTGTGCCCAGGAGGTTTAGAATTGCTTCACAGTTACCTGTGCTTGTTGGAATAAGTGAAATAGTGGAGTATGTGATCAGACTCAATGACTTAGATGATTGTCTGACATCATAACTTGATCATTGTAACAATCACTGGTTTGTTTGGTCTATACTTGAATATTTACATGTCACTAAGGTATAGTTGGAATATTGCTGACTGCAGCTTTTAACAACACAAGCAACAAACACGTCTGTTTGTGTTTCACATACTTTGCTATTTTATGCTCTTCTTTTTCTCCCAAATAGGGCTGACACACTATGAACTGACTAGAAATAGTGTTCAATAACAACATATATGTAATATACATGTACTCTCATCCTGAGGTAATGATTTAATTCTGGTAGTTTTGTTTGTAAATCAAAGAATGAGGTAGTAGGATAAGGTCTCTTTTCAACTCACTGGTACTGTGAAATTTGAAAGTTGCTGAAAACATTTAAATATGGCATGAAAGTTGCCTGTTCAGATGTCGGACAACCAGCCTGTTTTCTTTCTTACACTTGCAAGTACACTTGATCAAGTAATAGAATACAGGAAAGCTTCTTTGATAGGCATTTAGAAGTTGGAGTACTAAGTAAGGATAAGAATTTATGGATGAACAACTTCTTTATTACAATTAAGAGCGACGTTTCAGTGTAGGTTCTAACACTGTTATGGTTTGAACCTACACCGAAATGTCGCCCTTAATTGTAAGAAAGAACTTGTTCTTCCATAAATTTTTATCCTTACTTATACAGGAAAGGCTTAAATGTCTGATAAAGGTGATATTTCCAACAGGAGAAAATCCAGCTATGAGCAAGTCTGTAACCCAGAAGTCTTACCATGTTTCTACTCCTTGGGTCAAATACTTTTTCCTGTTCAGATAATACAAGAATGTCCCTGAAAACCTATAATCAGCCATCTTCCTGAGGCAAGTGTGTCCACTAGCCTGTATCAAAGCCTAGTTTCTACAAGACTTTGATAAAAAGGCTAGCGGAAGCTCTTCACTCGGGGAAGATGATAATCAGCCTCTTTGTCACATTTTACCCGGACCAATACTAGTAATGTTGTATAAGTCCCGTGCTATTGGTCTTGAAATGAGAAGTCAAGTCCTCATTCATTTGAACTTTCATAACAATTTCTTGCACTATGCGGATCCTGTGTGTGAAAAATAGCTGATGTTATACCTTGCCCTTTCAAAATCCTTTCAGTCGTCTAAGGCACTGCAATTTGCTGAGCAGGGGTTATTCCCCTGGGCATGCCAGAAACCTATGATTGTGGCTGTGACTCCTGGTCTGCCCAGATTATGTTTCTGGGTTTAGCAACACCATACCAGTGCTCGTGGGTTTTACCAAAGTGGTGAACGTCTGAGACCTACATCACTTTGGGTTTTCCTCCCACTTTAAGCTGTGATATAACTGGAATACTGTTAAAAGCAGCGTTAAACCATCTCACTCAGTCACACTCCTTGACAAGACAACAGTGCTGTAAGTCCTTGTAAGTTGGTATAAAACTTGGTGTTGCAGGGCCCCAAGCATCATTGTAATAGACGAACTCGATGCATTGTGTCCCAAGAGAGACAACTCTAACAGTGACCTTGAGAAGAGGGTGGTCGCCAGTCTGTTGACCCTTATGGATGGGATCGATGTGGGTACTCCATGCTTTCCTTTCAACCTCAGTCTTAATGCATTTTCACCTATTGCACCTTTTTGTTGTGTTTGTCAAAAAGATTCCATAGTGATCCTTCTCATTCTTGATGATGTTTATTTAAGAAATAAACGACTGCGCAGCCCTGAGTGGTTTATTCTCCCTGCAGTGTTTTATTGTACAATCAACAATGACAACGACTTGTTTATTTCTTATTTGAGATATCAACATTATTTACAGCCTCTTTCAGGATTATGATAACATGTACAAGTTATAAAAATATTCTCTCATATTTAAATAATGATTACTCTCAGAAATATTGGTCAAGTCTGTTTTATGCACAGGTGCATATTTCCCACATATTCTCACACGATTATTTACAGGTCACGGTAACATAGCTGGAATATTGCTGAGTGCCATGTTAAACAACAAACACACATACACATATATATGAAGACAAGCCAAGTAGGCTTTGGAAAGAGAACCTGTCAAATTTTCTATTACAGTTCAGCAGTGACAAGATGGTGGTTGTGCTTGGGGTGACCAGTAAGCCGGACGCTCTCGACACTGCCCTGAGACGCCCTGGTCGGTTTGATCGGGAGGTAGAGGTGGGAGTCCCCACTGCCAGACAGAGGCTAGAGGTGAGTACTGAGATGTCGGGGTCGGTTTGATCGGGAGGTAGAGAAGGGCGTCCCCACTGCCAGACAGAGGCTAGAGGTGAGTACTGAGATGTTGGGGTCGGTTTGATCGGGAGGTAGAGGTGGGGGTCCCCACTGCCAGACAGAGGCTAGAGGTGAGCACTGAGATGTCGGGGTCGGTTTGATCGGGATGTAGAGAAGGGCGTCCCCACTGCCAGACAGAGGCTAGAGGTGAGTACTGAGATGTCGGGGTCGGTTTGATCGGGAAGTGGAGGTGGGGGTCCCCACTGCCAGACAGAGGCTAGAGGTGAGCACTGAGATGTCGGGGTCGTTTTGATTGGGAGGTGGAGGTGGGGGTCCCCACTGCCAGACAGAGGCTAGAGGTGAGTACTGGGATGTCGGGGTCGGTTTGATCGGGAAGTGGAGGTGGGCGTCCCCACTGCCAGACAGAGGCTAGAGGTGAGTACTGAGATGTCGGGGTTGGTTTGATCGGGATGTAGAGAAGGGCGTCCCCACTGCCAGACAGAGGCTAGAGGTGAGTACTGAGATGTCAGGGTCGGTTTGATCAGGAAGTGGAGGTGGGGGTCCCCACTGCCAGACAGAGGCTAGAGGTGAGTACTGAGATGTCGGGGTCGGTTTGATCGGGAAGTGGAGGTGGGCGTCCCCACTGCCAGACAGAGGTTAGAGGTGAGTACTGAGATGACGGGTCGGTTTGATCGGGAAGTGGAGGTGAGGGTCCCCACTGCCAGACAGAGGCTAGAGGTGAGTACTGAGATGTCGGGGTTGGTTTGATCGGGATGTAGAGAAGGGCGTCCCCACTGCCCGACAGAGGCTAGAGGTGAGTACTGAGATGTCGGGGTCGGTTTGATCAGGAAGTGGAGGTGGGCGTCCCCACTGCCAGACAGAGGCTAGAGGTGAGTACTGAGATGTCGGGGTCGGTTTGATCGGGAAGTGGAGGTGGGCGTCCCCACTGCCAGACAGAGGTTAGAGGTGAGTACTGAGATGACGGGTCGGTTTGATCGGGAAGTGGAGGTGAGGGTCCCCACTGCCAGACAGAGGCTAGAGGTGAGTACTGAGATGTCGGGGTTGGTTTGATCGGGATGTAGAGAAGGGCGTCCCCACTGCCCGACAGAGGCTAGAGGTGAGTACTGAGATGTCGGGGTCGGTTTGATCAGGAAGTGGAGGTGGGCGTCCCCACTGCCAGACAGAGGCTAGAGGTGAGTACTGGGATGTCGGGGTCGGTTTGATCAGGAAGTGGAGGTGGGCGTCCCCACTGCCAGACAGAGGCTAGAGGTGAGTACTGAGATGTCGGGATCGGTTTGATCGGGAAGTGGAGGTGAGGGTCCCCACTGCCAGACAGAGGCTAGAGGTGAGTACTGAGATGTCGGGGTTGGTTTGATCGGGATGTAGAGGTGGGCGTCCCCACTGCCAGACAGAGGCTAGAGGTGAGTACTGAGATGTCGGGGTCAGTTTGATCGGGAAGTGGAGTTGGGGGTCCCCACTGCCAGACAGAGGCTAGAGGTGAGTACTGAGATGTCGGGGTCGGTTAGATCGGGATGTAGAGAAGGGCATCCCCACTGCCAGACAGAGGCTAGAGGTGAGTACTGAGATGTTGGGGTCGGTTAGATCGGGATGTAGAGAAGGGCGTCCCCACTGCCAGACAGAGGCTACAGGTGAGTACTGGGATGTCGGGGTCGGTTTGATCGGGATGTAGAGAAGGGCATCCCCACTGCCAGACAGAGGCTAGAGGTGAGTACTGGGATGTCAGGGTCGGTTTGATCGGGAGGTAGAGGTGGGCGTCCCCACTGCCAGACTGAGGCTAGAGGTGAGTACTGAGATGTCGGGGTTGGTTTGATCGGGATGTAGAGAAGGGCGTCCCCACAGCCAGACAGAGGCTAGAGGTGAGTACTGAGATGTCGAGGTCAGTTTGATCGGGAAGTGGAGGTGGGCATCCCCACTGCCAGACAGAGGCTAGAGGTGAGTACTGAGATGTCGGGGTCGGTTTGATCGGGAAGTGGAGGTGAGGGTCCCCACTGCCAGACAGAGGCTAGAGGTGAGTACTGAGATGTCGGGGTTTGGTTTGATCGGGATGTAGAGAAGGGCGTCCCCACTGCCCGACAGAGGCTAGAGGTGAGTACTGAGATGTCGGGGTCGGTTTGATCAGGAAGTGGAGGTGGGCGTCCCCACTGCCAGACAGAGGCTATAGGTGAGTACTGAGATGTCGGGGTCGGTTAGATCGGGATGTAGAGAAGGGCATCCCCACTGCCAGACAGAGGCTAGAGGTGAGTACTGAGATGTCGGGGTCGGTTAGATCGGGATGTAGAGAAGGGCGTCCCCACTGCCTGACAGAGGCTAGAGGTGAGTACTGGGATGTCGGGGTCGGTTTGATCGGGATGTAGAGAAGGGCATCCCCACTGCCAGACAGAGGCTAGAGGTGAGTACTGGGATGTCGGGGTCGGTTTGATCGGGAGGTAGAGGTGGGCGTCCCCACTGACAGACAGAGGCTAGAGGTGAGTACTGAGATGTCGGGGTCGGTTTGATCGGGAAGTGGAGGTGGGGGTCCCCACTGCCAGACAGAGGCTAGAGGTGAGTACTGGGATGTCGGGGTCGGTTTGATCGGGAGGTAGAGGTGGGCGTCCCCACTGCCAGACAGAGGCTAGAGGTGAGTACTGAGATGTCGGGGTCGGTTTGATCGGGAGGTAGAGGTGGGCGTCCCCACTGCCAGACAGAGGCTAGAGGTGAGTCCTGAGATGTCGGGGTCGGTTTGATCAGGAAGTGGAGGTGGGCGTCCCCACTGCCAGACAGAGGCTAGAGGTGAGTACTGAGATGTCGGGGTTGGTTTGATCGGGATGTAGAGAAGGGCATCCCCACTGCCCGACAGAGGCTAGAGGTGAGTACTGAGATGTCGGGGTCGGTTTGATCAGGAAGTGGAGGTGGGCGTCCCCACTGCCAGACAGAGGCTAGAGGTGAGTACTGAGATGTTGGGGTCGGTAAGATCGGGATGTAGAGAAGGGCGTCCCCACTGCCAGACAGAGGCTAGAGGTGAGTACTGGGATGTCGGGATCGGTTTGATCGGGATGTAGGGAAGGGCATCCCCACTGCCAGACAGAGGCTAGAGGTGAGTACTGGGATGTCGGGGTCGGTTTGATCGGGAGGTAGAGGTGGGCGTCCCCACTGCCAGACAGAGGCTAGAGGTGAGTACTGAGATGTCGGGGTCGGTTAGATTGGGATGTAGAGAAGGGCGTCCCCACAGCCAGACAGAGGCTAGAGGTGAGTACTGAGATGTCGGGGTCGGTTTGATCGGGAAGTGGAGGTGGGGGTCCCCACTGCCAGACAGAGGCTAGAGGTGAGTACTGAGATGTCGGGGTCGGTTTGATCGGGAAGTGGAGGTGGGGGTCCCCACTGCCAGACAGAGGCTAGAGGTGAGTACTGAGATGTCGGGGTCGGTTTGATCGGGAAGTGGAGGTGGGGGTCCCCACTGCCAGACAGAGGCTAGAGGTGAGTACTGAGATGTTGGAGATGATTGCTGTAATGGCTTTTCTAGGAAATGTTTTAAATGAACAGTTCTTAATTTAATGGTTGTTGAAAGGTTGTTATTAGAGTGTCAGTTAAGTTGCTATGAGAAGTATTGAATGAATGAATGAATGAATGAATGAATTGTGTTAAAGATATTACACTATATGATTTGAGTTTCGTGAGAATAAGCATCAACATTTTAATCTCATTGGAAATAAAATACAACTTTAGGCACCTATGTGTATAATGTAAACCTGATGGACTTCTGTTATCACATGTGTCAGATCCTGGAGAAGCTGTTGAAGAGGACCCCCAACACGCTGACCACAGAGGAGCTGACGGATGTTGCAGACGCTGCTCATGGCTTTGTAGGGGCTGACCTGGTGGCCATCTGTAAAGAAGGTAAGGTTCTCATTTCAATGTGATCTTTGAATGTCAATATCATGCCTGCTGACCTGTGAACTGCAGAGCTTGTTGCCTCTGGTATCAAGGGAGATAACTTTTGCAACCTTTCTATCCTTTTGTAGCTGGCTTACATGCAGTGAAGAGGAAGATGCAGACTGGGAACAAGCAGCTGGTGATATGCAGGGAGGATGTAGTGTACGCCTTGTCCACTGTCCAGCCCAGTGCCATGAGGGAGGTGCAGCTGGAGGTGCCCAAGGTAATTAGTGGGGACAAGGGGTTCATCAGTGGAGACAGGTCATTAGGAGGAACGTCATCCTGCAGGAGATGGTTAGTGGGGACAAGGGGAGTTCATCAGTGGAGACAGGTCATTAGGAGGAATGTCATTGTGCGGGAGATGGTTAGTGGGGACAACGGGAGTTCATCAGTGGAGACAGGTCATTAGGAGGAATGTCATTGTGCGGGAGATGGTTAGTGGGGACAAGGGGAGTTCATCAGTGGAGACAGGTCATTGGGAGGAACGTCATCGTGCGGGAGATGGTTAGTTGGGACAAGGGGAGTTCATCAGTGGAGACAGGTCATAAGGAGGAACACAATCCTGTGAGGAGATGGTTAGTGGGGACAAGGGGAGCTCATCAGTAGTCGAGGAACCCCATCATCTATGAAGTTTATCAGTGGGGAGACAAGAAGAGTTATTTAGTGGGGACAGGAGGCAGCCATTAGTGGTACAAAGGGAATTCAATGGGAGGTGATGGGTGCTCATAGGACGGGGTGGGTTGGCTGCGACATGGAGTTCATGTGATGGGATCTCGTGGGTTGTGGGATCTCGTGGGTTGTGGGATCTCGTGGGTTGTGGGATCTCGATGGTTGTGAGATCTCGTGGGTTGTGGGATCTTGTGGGTTGTGGGATCTCGTGGGTTGTGGGATCTCGTGGGTTGTGGGATCTAGTGGGTTGTGGGATCTTGTGGGTTGTGGGATCTCATGGGTTGTGGGATCTCGTGGGTTGTGGGATCTCGTGGGTTGTGGGATCTCGTGGGTTGTGGGATCTCGTGGGTTGTGGGATCTCATGGGTTGTGGGATCTCGTGGGTTGTGGGATCTTGTGGGTTGTGGGATCTCATGGGTTGTGGGATCTCGTGGGTTGTGGGAGCTCTTTGCAACAACATGGAGTTCAGAGGTGACAAGTGTGATGGTTGAAAGACGAGAGCTCATCATGACCAAATAACAAAAATTAAAAATACACTGTCTTCATTTTGTGTCCATGCAGGTCCTGTGGTCAGACATTGGTGGCCAGGCCGAGTTGAAGTTAAAGCTGAAACAGGCAATAGAGTGGCCCCTAAAACACCCCGAGTCCTTCCAGAGGCTAGGCATCAACCCTCCCAAAGGCCTGCTCATGTATGGGCCCCCCGGATGCTCCAAGACTATGATAGCTAAAGCTCTGGCCACAGAGAGTGGCCTCAACTTTATTGCTGTCAAGGTAAATGATACACAATGTTGTCTATAACAATGTTGAGAGAGGATGTAATGTAGCAAAAAGGGCAGTCATAAAGATGTTAAGGCATGCCATCTGGAATATGTGTGTGCCTACAAAACGAATACATTTGATCCATCTTTGAACTCAGTGAATGTTTTTTTCCATCATTAGCTTGATTATAAGCCTCCTGTGCTGTTTTGCAAGTGATATGTCCTGTGTATATCTAGGGTCTGTAGTTGTTCAGCATGTTATATATCCTGTGTACATCTAGGGCCCCGAGCTGTTCAGCATTGGGTGGGGGGGTCTGAGCGTGCCGTGAGGGAAGTGTTCAGCAAGTAAACTAACCTGTGTACATCTAGGGCCCCGAGCTGTTCAGCAAGTGGGTGGGGGAGTCTGAGCGTGCCGTGAGGGAAGTGTTCAGGAAGGCTCGGGCTGCTGCTCCTGCTATCATCTTCTTTGATGAGATAGATGCCCTGGCTGTGGAGAGAGGGAGGTAGGTAGCCACTGGACTCATGTGAACAGACATTCCTACCACAACAATATGTATAAGATGATTTTTCATGCAGTTTTGTATTAAATGATTCTTGCATATTCTTAAATGCCATTCCATGTGACTTTTGGCAGTTTGTAAACTAAGTTGAAGTTTCCACATCTCAAATACACAGAAATAAGACTGAAAAGAACATCCTGCCTTTAACAAATTCAGTTGCCACCAATTAATTTGAACATGCTTATAGCTGCTAGTCTGCCTGGCCCATACTTAATTATTCATGGACTGCCATGACATGTATCTTATAGCTGGAATATTGCTTACCCTGATATAAAGTGACAAACAAACTTCCTACCCACTTCCTCTTGAGGCAAAAGTGTGGCTGACTTAGTGTCAGTCTAATTCATGTCACACCTGCAGTTCCCAGTTCATCTGGAGGCAATAGTGTGGCTGACTTTGTGTCAGTCTTATTCATGTCACGCCTGCTGTTCCCAGCTCATCTGGAGGCAATAGTGTGGCTGACTTTGTGTCGACCAGTCTAATTCATATCACGCCTGCTGTTCCCAGCTCATCTGGAGGCAATAGTGTGGCTGACTTTGCGTCGGTCTAATTCATGTCATGCCTGCTGTTCCCAGCTCATCTGGAGGCAATAGTGTGGCTGACTTTGTGTCAGCCTAATTCATGTCACGCCTGCTGTTCCCAGCTCATCTGGAGGCAATAGTGTGGCTGACTTTGTGTTGGTCTAATTCATGTCACGCCTGCTGTTCCCAGCTCATCTGGAGGCAATAGTGTGGCTGACTTTGCGTCGGTCTAATTCATGTCATGCCTGCTGTTCCCAGCTCATCTGGAGGCAATAGTGTGGCTGACTTTGTGTCAGTCTAATTCATGTCACGCCTGCTGTTCCAAGTTCATCTGGAGGCAATAGTGTGGCTGACTTTGTGTCAGTCTTATTCATGTCACGCCTGCTGTTCCAAGTTCATCTGGAGGCAATAGTGTGGCTGACTTTGTGTCAGTCTAATTCATGTCACGCCTGCTGTTCCAAGTTCATCTGGAGGCAATAGTGTGGCAGACTTTGTGTTGGTCTAATTCATGTCACGCCTGCTGTTCCCAGCTCATCTGGAGGCAGCAATGTGGCGGACCGTGTTCTAGCACAGCTGCTGACGGAGATCGACGGAGTTGAGAAGCTGCAGGATGTCACCATTGTTGCTGCCACCAACAGACCGGACATGATAGACCAGGTGGGAATGCATATTTACGTATGTTGTTGTACTGCACATAGAGGGTGCTGGTGGCCCAGGTGAGGTGGCTCAGGCATTGCATGTCACTACGTCATTATTGGTCATTTAGGACAAGGCCTTATCAAGGATTGTAAACTAAGTGCCCCTCGCAGGCAAATTATCTTATTATATTCAAAAGTGTAGCATTTCTCAGTTGATGGGGATACTTTTATCTTTCCACACACTACTGATTCTCATAATATGTCCAGTGTTTATTTAAACAGACTGACCTATCTGATTATCCCTAACAAAAGTTGAGTAGTATATTTTAACATTGCATTTTGAGATGCATTCCATGCAATATTATATAACAAAGCATTAAAACCTTTTCCTTTATCTTGGTTCTTTTATCAGTGACATACAGGTTCTTTCTATAACACCATACATTTAGTTATTAGTGATCTGTATTAACATGAATTGGGGAAATTTTTTATCCAATAAGGGAAGTTTTAAGGACATTTTCAAATTAAGGGCTGAATATCAGCCTCTGAGCATGTCCAGATAAATCCCTGTAGGATTTGTTGATCATGGGTTTGAATCCCATTTCATTATGACCCCTGGACTGTTGGCACCATATCCATGCTGGTGGGTTTCACAAAGGTGGTAAATATCTTTTACTGGCTCTAGGCTTATCTCTCACATTAAGTTAACATGCTATGAGATATGGGAAATAATATCCAAAGAGTCATTAAACCTCAACCAGCTCTTCCAGCACAAGCACATTTAAAGCTGTGTGCAGTGAGAGGCTTTATGAGCTGGCTGGTATAGTGTGTCATCATACCCATTCTAGATTGATACTCAAACTATCATTCTCTTGTTTGTCTGCTCCAGGCGCACAAATACTATGTAGGTGGACCTATGCAGCTGACATATTTTTCTTCACAATGTCTAATTTCATACACCATACAATAAAAAAAGTCTTCTCACAGGCCCTGCTGCGTCCAGGGAGAATTGATCGGATCCTGTACGTTCCCTTGCCCGCCCCAGACACACGGAAGGAAATATTTCAGCTGCATCTGCAGCGGATGCCCGTTGACGAGGATGTGAATGTGGATGGTCTGGTTGAGGAGACCGACAGATACTCAGGGGCTGAGGTATGTAGTCCGAAAATTAATCTGATAGTGTTTTGTGTATACATCATTGTCGGGCAGAGTGCTTCTCAGGCCGCACAACTACTTTGCTATATTTCTTCTCAAATATATGTTTGTGGAAACAAACAAATATCAATATTAAATTTGGCATTTATTTTTAGCTTCTAAACATTTTGACTAGTAAATTGTGTTATTCTATGGAACATTCCAAGATGCTTTGCTAAAAGATTAAAGGCCCCGGTTTCTTCCTGTGATAAAGTGCACTGTTTGAGTTAGCCATTGTGGACTGACATCATGATGCTGTTTAAGTTACCTCCCCTGCTATCTAACGTATCCTTAGAAACATTGTTTTTTCACTACTGTCCAGCAACTTAAGTGGTGGAAATAAAGTTGCAGCTTGTACGACAGAAAATACCTCAACTCACAATAACCAGCAACACCAAACTTAGGCGATTTTACACCACAAAGCACCTGTAGAATGTTTCAAGTCACATGATTAATTTGAAGCCAAATAATATAAAAAAAATTATAATCCTACTTACTGCTGCAGGGGATTATGGCTATCCACACATTGAACGGATCATTTTAGTGGCATTGAATCACGTTCAAACCCTAAGTACGTCTCTTAATGTAAGGGTGCAGGCAATTCAGTAAATGTAAGGGTGCAGGCAATTCAGTGAATGTAAGGGTGCAGGCAATTCAGTGAATGTAAGGGTGCAGGCAATTCAGTTAATGTAAGGGTGCAGGCAATTCAGTGAATGTAAGGGTGCAGGCAATTCAGTGAATGTAAGGGTGCAGGCAATTCAGTTAATGTAAGGGTGCAGGCAATTCAGTTAATGTAAGGGTGCAGGCAATTCAGTGAATGTAAGGGTGCAGGCAATTCAGTGAATGTAAGGGTGCAGGCAATTCAGTTAATGTAAGGGTGCAGGCAATTCAGTTAATGTAAGGGTGCAGGCAATTCAGTGAATGTAAGGGTGCAGGCAATTCAGTTAATGAGCCCGTCAGTTTTCCCTTTTGAGGATTTTCAATTTACGTCAAAGGTCATTACACGTTTGATTTAAAACCCAGCTCCAATAAAATTTAAGTTGAGTCTTAAATTCGACATCTTAGAAAAGTAATAATGTTTGCATTACCCCCATGTATAGTGTAATAAAGTAAATGGTCCTCGTGCTACAACTATAATAGTTGAAGGCAAAACTATACTTCTATTTCACTACACATGGGAGTAGAACAAACTTACATTTCTCAATTACATGCATTATATTAAAAGTCAGACTAGGACCCTACCAGATCATGCTTGTCATAAATGCCAACTTAAATGGGGATTTGGTGTTCAGTCTCTTGGACTGTGAGTGTGTGTCATCATACAAGGACGATACACTTTGTTGCTCTTACTTCCAGTCACTCACTCAGTCAAAGGTGATCAGAATCATTCCATGCCCTTTGGACACTTTCAGGGGAGGTAACTCAGACTGATTACCTACCTTTTCTGTAATGGTAAACTCGTCAGTGGCTCATACCATTACTTATGTTAAACTGTTGCTATCTAATAATGTATGCAGAACAATATCAGCTTTTTCTGTAATGGTAAACTCGTCAGTGGATCATACCATTACTTATATTAAACTGTTGCTATCGAATAGTGTATGCAGAACACAATCAGCTTTTGTCAATGTTGTGCACGTCATCGAGCATCATCAATACTTCATAGGTTTGGTTTTTCTACGTTCCACCATCACAGTAAATACATGTGGCCACTGTGTAATCACAGTTTTTGACAAGTGAATCAAGCCATGTCCTGGTTTAAGTGAGGGGCAATAACTCTTGTGCAACAAGTGCTGTAGACGTGCGGCCTTGACTCTACACTTAGCTTCAATGTGAGGCAACATGGTGTTCACACTTTGTTCATTCACGGAGTACGGCTAATTTGATTTCCATCAGTTATACACAGCCTCATTTCTTTACCTGACTGTTGCATCACAACTCAACCCGATATTTTCACCGGGCGTTAAGCAATGTAGTGTACACAAACTCATGAAGCCTGGCAAGGTGGGAATATGACGATTGGCAGGACCTTGCGTCCCAAAGATATAAATATGGCAGACAACAACTCCTTCCACTGTCACTTTGATTGACATGATTTCACCAAGGACAGAGAAACTGCAAGTAGGGCTGTGAAGAACAGCAACACTGAGATTATCTGACGTCAAAGCTTTGCCAAAATTAACATCCGGAAAGCAAGAGGACCAGACAATCTTGACGTCATATTGTTAAAGGAATGCAGCGCAGAGTTCAGCTATGTCACATGTTTTCCAGGCTATTCCAACTCACACTGGACACTCTTCCATCAGGTTGGAAAACCTGGAACCTTATACGGTACTTGTTCCTTAAAGAACACTCCCAAATAATTCAATAACTACAAACCTGTGTCATTGACATCAATCACGATAAAGTCATTGGAATGGACTGTTCTTTGATATCTCTGCCAAGAGGTGATAGAAACATTGGACCCTCTTCAATTTGCCTATAGATCGAAGCGAGGTGTTGTTGATACAACTCCGTCATTCCTGAACAATGTCTGTAAACACCAAGCGACTAGAGACTATCAAGTCATACATCAGGACACTGTGTCGACTTTTCATCAGTCTTCAACACTATCCAGCTGCATATAATGAAACTGAAATTAGCACACATGGGAGTAAATTTGACTTTCTTTGGGTGGACTGGGATTTTTCTCCTGGCCAAGCAACAGAGCGTGAAAGTCAACTGGATTCTATCAAACACACTACCCACGTGCACAGGCACAGCACATATCATCTGTGCTCTTCACGCTTTACACCAACGACTGCACAAGCACTTATCTGAATTGTACAAGTGTTAAGTTGGCTGATGACACAGCTATCATCGGCCTGATGAACGACTCCAAATCAGAACAAGACCACAAAGATTGAATTGATAATTTTACAACATGGTGTAGGGACAATTATCTGCTTCTTAATGGGAAGAAAAGATTATAATTGACTTTAGAAGCAAACTCCCTTGTCCATTAATGACAGTACAAGTACTTGGGAACCTTTATTGACTCTTATGCTCAACTGGAACTCAAACACAGATAGCATTTATAGTAAATGTCAAGGATGTCTAAATCGCGTGAGAAAGCTCCGTTCTTGTTATGTAAATAAAGCTGTGATGTCACTCTTTTACATGTGTTCTTACTTTTCTTCCCGTTATTGGCCCGAGTCTCTTTCAGTTCAACACAAATCAAAACTAAACAAGATTCTAAGCACTGCAAATAACATATTTGGAGTCAAATTTGAATGACTTTCTTCATAAAACAAGGAGCAAGTCGTAAATCAAACAGCAAAGATTATTACTGACTCAACCCATTTCTTTCCATCCTGAAGCTAAACTATTGCCTACAGGCCGCCGCTGTTGAACTCCTGTTGTGAAAAGCAGGAGAGCTTGTACATCTTTTGTCCAAAATAGTGTCTCACTTTTATTTAAACATAACTCTTAATTGTTTGTATGTTAATGCCATATCTTATATCTATGCATCTATTATGTGTACATTATGCATCTAACTACAGTAAACTACGGTTATAATGAGCTCAAAGGGATCAATAATTTTAATTTGTTTTGCAGGTATCCGCAGTGTGTCACGAGGCAGCACTGTTTGCTCTACAGGAAGACATCCACAGCTCTGTTGTGCGACACAGACATTTCACAGAGGCTCTGTGCACAGTGAAGCCTCGCATCAGTCACCAGAAGCTGCTGTTTTATGAGACATACAGTGAACAGAGTGGCCTGCATGCTGTATAACTGCAGCTGCCAAGTGTTGCTTGTGAGGTGCTGTATGCCCGGAGAGCAGAGGGTCAGTGGTTAGATCCCTAGCCACGTCTTTAAAAGATGGTACTTGTTGTTACCTTGCCTGGAGTTTGTCGTTGAGGGTATACTGTGTCTGAGTGTGGTATCCATGTAAAACTGCGGCATGGTATCTCAGTGGGCTAGCACGATAATATTGGCTTAGTCGAGACCAGTACAAGCAGCCACAAATATACACGCATGTCGCTGTGTAAGTGCAATAATCTTGAACATGACGTTACACCCATTTCACTTCAAATCACTTCTGTGTCAAACAACAAAACACAATACACACACACACTGTCCGAGGAAATTTGAGTATTCAGTATTCGATATCTATGTGAGGACACACACCATAGACACTATGTATGCAACTGTAATTATCAACCATGGTCATACCTGTGTGAAGAAGCTATAATATCCATTGTCTAAATGGGGAAATACACACCATGTATGCAACTGTAATTAGTTCATGTGTCTGTGAAGAACTGACAAGATCGCCTGTCTGAAAAGAGTATATCTCAACACGTTGTTTCTATTCTATCATCCAATATTGGTTATGGCAGATATCGCCTTTTTTTAAGTTAAAGCAACATTTGTTTGACGAAACAGTTGTTTGTTTGTGCCAATATCTATGGCGGGACGACATGCCTATTGTATGGTCATGGCATCACAGTAGTTCTACACTTGCACTGTGCTGGCGCGCAGGTGCAGGAAAATGCATACAAAAACACATTTATTTTGTAGCATGATTTTTTATGATAAACACAATCTCACCCTTGTGTGTCTATTCGTGTTTTTGGTGTTCATCTCCTTGGGACATTATCCCAATGATTTCAAGATGGTCTGTACAGTAGTCATGAGTTCCAAATGTACTTCAGGCCCTGGCTACTGGCTAAACAATTGTGCTTCAGGCCCTGGCTACTGGCTAAATAATAGCCACTCAAAAGTAAAATACTTTGTTTAGAAATATATGAATTCAAAGTCTAGTCGGTACAAAAACAATTATTAGGAGAAATTAGTAACAACAAAACTTTATTCAAAGAATCTTGTCATAGTTTTCAGTCATATTTGACAGGTAAAGGTAATACGAACACAACAAATGAGCAAAATGAAGTTTAAAATTTTGACATTTTTAACAAAATATATTCTTCTGTTTAATGCTACTTGTTGGATGTAGCTTTACCGATATACCGATGATTCTTATATGGTTTGCGTTTCTTTTGGCAGTGAGTATACATTTGTACTGTTCAAATGGTACTTCTTCATTCAATAATCGGGGCGGTCAGGTAGCCAAGTGGTTTAAGCGATTGCTCGTCACTCCGAAGACCTGGGTTCGATTTCCGACATGGGTACAATGTGTGAGGCCCATTTCTGGTGTCCCCCAGCCGTGATATTGCTGCAATATTGCTAAAAGCTGCGTAAAACCATACTCACTCACTCATTCAGTAATCCAGACTTCAGATTGCGAGATGGGTAGTATGGATAAATGAGATTACCTATTATGTCATCAATGTGGAAGTTTATATAAGCAGCGTGAAGCATGTGCTGTTTACATGGTTTAGTTGAACCCGGTACATCCAAATGCTTCAAGATGGTAGACATAAGATGACATTTTATATTCTTGATTATGGCTTGTATTGCCTTACCTAAAGCCTCTCATTGGATATATGAAGTGTTTTTTCCTCTTTTCAGCTTAATTTTAATCCTTAAATCACCGTAAAACTTTATTCATTGGATTATTTTACCCTATATTTGGGTCTAATTGGTGATCGCAACCAATTAATTTATGCCTGCACGTTGCTCTGATTGCCGTGGTAAGAAGACTCGTAAGGACCCCCACCCCTTGTATCATTATTGTACTTATCTGAGCTCAGTGGGAAGGAAGTGTCACTTTTGGTATCTCAGTGAGCTAGCACTATAAATCGGCATCAGTCCAGACTAGTACAAGCAGCCACAATCACACACGTGCATGCACGTCGCTATATTAGTGCAATAATCTTGGACGCGACGTTAAACCCAATTTCACCTCACCATCTAAGAGCTACATTTAAATTAATCTAATATAGGTTTCTATGAAACGAACGCAAATGAAAACATGAATTTTCGGTTCAGGGGAAAGTTGATGTCCAATATTGAAGTGTACTTCGATATGATCTTTTAACATTTGTTTGTCATCAATAACACTAAAGTGAATCAAATTATCACGATATGTGTGAAGAATACACACGTGTTATGCCAAACCTTGACATAGCCGCAATCCTGAATATTCGCAGGACTAACTGATTGAGTGGAAGGCCTTTCAATAGCGTCAAACAGTCTACACCCTTCATAGTATCCAAAGCAATGAGCCAAGATATTGCATTTACAGTAAAACATGTATTTTACATGATTGGATAACATGTCAGAGGTCTGATGCTCTTTGAGTCTGGTGTTGAGGGGTCTAAGAGTTTTTCCAATGTATTGGTGGCCACAGTTGCAGGGGATCTGATATATACGTCCTTTAGGTTTGGGACCCATACCCTACCAACCCCTGTCTATCAGATTTCCCGTCTCATCAAGAACAAAGCCAGCATATGTCACCTGTTCCAGCGGCAAGACCATTAAGACCCATGAAAGAGTCAATGGCAGAGGCACCAGCAGCGTAAGTCCCAACCCCAGAGGATGTATATGTGTTACAGGGAATATGTATACTACTCAAAAGAAGTTAGGGAACACTGACATGTTTGCACTTAAAATAAAAAAGGAACAGAAGACGAAGACGTGTAGTAAATTCAATAATGACCGCGTATACAGTAAGAAAGGATCATGAACAATCCACTACATTTCATAACGTGAACAAGTGTTGATGTCAATAATGTCACTGGGGTCAAAGTTGGAAATCCAGGCCATGAGAGAAAAGTCAGTAACGAGTGTGTCCGCCCCTAGCAGCCACACATGCAACACAGCGACGCCTCATGGATGTCACTAATGTCTGTAGTGTGTTCTGTGGGATAGCATGCCACTCCAAACTCAGCCATTGAGCAAGCTGGCGCAGATCTTGAGGTGGATGGTGGTTCTCCCTAACACGTCTCATTAATAGATCCCATACGTGTTCAATGGGTGCCATATCAGGTGAAATATTCTGGCCATTCCATGCGAGTGCGAGTAACATTGTTTTGTCCCAGAAAGTCAGTGACTATGCGTGCATGATGAGGTCTAGTATTGTCATCCTGGAAAACCGCCTGTGGGCGATGAAGACAAGGAATCAACATTGGTCTCGGAATCTCATCCATGTAGCGAGCAGCATTCAAATTCCCGTTGATGGCGTACAGATTGGTTCTGTGATTAAATGAGAAGGTTGACTACACCATGACACTATCACCACCCAAACGATTGTGCTCTAGGACGTTGACGTCAGCAAAAAGTTCCCCACGCCGTCTGTAGACAAGAACACGACCGTCATTATGCTGCAGTGAGAACCGAGATTCGTCAGAAAAAAAAACCCGTGACCACTGTTGTCTTGTCCACTGTCAGTATTGCCGTGCCCATGCGTCTCTGTCTGCTCTGTGACGCGGAAGAAGAAGGGGTTTAACGGCTTGACGTCGACGCCTGATGTTTCTTTCCCTCAAACGGTTTCTTATGGTGTGGTCACTGACACTTGTTCCTGTAGCGGCCCTCAATTGCCTTTGAAGATTGTTTGCTGTTTCTTCTCCGCCTCAACGCTTCAACAGTGACGTACCGGTCTTCTCTTCCTGTTGTCACACGAGGGCGTCCTGACCTTGGTCTATCACGTACTGTGATTTGTTGGAATCGCTGACGTAATCTGCAAATGAGGATGGACTAACATTTAACCTTAGAGGAGCTTCCCGCTGTTAAACATTCTCATTTAACCACCCAATAGCTCTGGCTCGTTCTTCAATCGTGAGGTGTCGACGTTGTGGCATTTGAACACAGAGATGCAGTTTCATAGCGACCTGCCTTTATCAACCCAAATTTCGCACAAAAATTCCTTGTGGCTCGTGCTTCATGAGAATAAGTGAGCGAATGCACGATCTCCATTTTTACGGCAGCTGTGAGGAGTAGATTACAACAAAAATATCCATGAAAATGAGTGCTGCTCAAAATGAACGTTGACGAGTCCAGTATGATTCAAATTCTTTGTGCTGGTCATGAAGTCACCTGAGTAAGGATGGTCTTCAATATCAGTACGTTAGCCGCCGATCAGGAGGCCATTTACCAAATTCAAAAGGAATCGAATGAACAGTGCTACAAAATGTCAGTGTTCCCTAAATTGTTTTGACGAGCATATATTCTCTGAACTTTTCAGGGAATATATGTAATGTCTGATTCACTCAGGGAATATACATATTCCCTAACATTTTCAGATATTATACATATTTCCTGATTTAAACAACACGTATTTTAGACATGAAAAAATATTTCATTCATGGTTGTTAATAGAATGATTCTCCATAATATCAATAAACCATTGTTAAAGTGTTTATTAAAAGAAAACGTTTGTACAGAAACACATGGGCCACGTGGCCTACAGTAGAACTCAATATACATGTTTTGAGTGCACGTGCCATGGTATGTAATAAGTATAATCATAATAGACATGATATATACAATTTCTCTCCAGATGATATTTTGGGAAGATAAAATCCTTTCCTCACATTTATCACAAGAAAAACAATAAAATGAATGTGACTCAGTTTATTAAATGAAGCTACTGGGAAACTCTGAATAAATAGTTCCATAAATAGAAATAGACCACAACTACATATAGGATATATGATTTCACATATTTTTTTCAGGCTGTGACTTTTCAACATACAAGATTTAAAAAGAATTATGAATATTTACAAACGTTTGCCGATACTAAATATACTTCAGTTTGATAAATACTTCCAGGGAGAACATTATTCGCAACATTCCTTACACGAGTGCATTTTACGTTTTCATCCATAAAGTATTATATCTCGAAACCAAATATATTGACAAACTCAAAAAAGATAAGAAAGTAATGAAGACAAAATTATCCAAACTTCACTCGTCTCGCCGATGGACAAGGGTCGATTCAACACGGGTTCAATGGAGCACATTTGTGGTGTCTTCAGTCGTGACATCACTAGGACATTGTTAAGAGGAGCGTAATACAGTACTCATTTAACAGAACTGTACACGCGTCCCTCTACACACAATCCAGGATCATATGGGTTCGAATCCCAGAATCGCCCTTATTATATGATCATTAGCTTGCATGCTATTTGATCTCCTAGACATGCATCACTTGACCCGTGAAGATCCGGGGTAGAATAGGTCTTCAGCAACCCATGCTTGCCGTAATCGGCGACTATGCTTGTCGTAAAAGGCGACTAACGGGATCGGGTGGTCAGGCTCGCTGACTTGGTTGATGCATGTCATCGGTCCCAATTGCGTGGATCGATGCTCATGATATCAATCACTGGATTGTCTGGTCCAGACTCGATTATTTTCAGACCGCCGTCATATAGCTGGAATATTGCTGAGTGCGGCGTTAAACAACAAACAAACCAACCAACCAACCAACATGCATCACTTCAGGCTTTCTTTCAACATCACGTTGACGCGCCCTGATGTAACTGAAATATCCAAATCGGCGTTAAACCCAGCTCACTCTGTGTCTCCCTCATGGAGTCTCATATGTTTCTTCAGTGCCCCCGATTGACTGAATTTTCGTCCACATTTGTCACATTGAAAAGGTTGTAATCCCGTGTGACATCTGACATGTGTGTTCAGGTTTTCTTTGGAAGAAAACGCCTTCTGACATACCTGGCAATCGAACGGTTTTAAGGCAGAGTGTACTTTCATGTGGGTGTTCAAGTTTTGTTTATGAAGAAATGTCTTATCACACACCAGACAGGAGAACGGCTTGACGTCGCCGTGCACGCCCATGTGTATTCTTAGGTAGCCCGCCGTCGCGAAACATTTCCCGCAGTTGTTACAGACGAAAGGTTTTGCATCACTGTGGACATTAGCATGGCGATTAAATTGGGCAACGGAGGAGAAGGATTTCTCACACTGGAGACATTTGTATGCATTTAAACCTGTATGTGATACCAGGTGATCTGTCAGCCGGGAACAATATGTGTACACCTTCTCACATAATCCACATCCAAAAGCAAAGTCGCCCTTCTTGTATCCTCCATGTGTTCGTATATGTTTATACAAATCCCCTGTGCTGTGAAACGGCTCCTTGCACATCCCGCATCTGAAACATTCCTTGTCATGTATCAGCTTGTGTTTGTCCAGGACATCCTCATCTACGAAAGACTTATTGCAAAGCCCACACAAAGGCAAGGCATCTTTAAGATGTGTTGCTTTGTGTTTTTCACGCGCACTCTTTGAAGCAAAAGCTTTTGGACAGGTATCACACTTGTAGGGCTTCAGCCCCGCATGCATCTCCATGTGTAGTTTCATGTTCCCTCCGGCTGCGAATCGCTTGTCGCATACAGGGCACTGGTGTGGCTTCTCCCCTGTGTGGAGCTTTGCGTGTTTCGTAAGGTTGCACTTCAGTGTAAACGCCATGTCACACACATCACACTTAAACGACCTGACGCCAATGTGGGTGGCCATGTGATTCTTCAGACCCGACTTCTGGGAGAATCGTTTCTCACACACTTCACATCCATATGGCTTCTCGCCAGTGTGTACTCTCGTGTGGATGGTCAACTCCGAGGGTTTGGAAAACACTTTGCCACATGTTTCGCAGTTGTGGTCTATGCGTTTAGCTTTTCCTCTTTTCGTCTTTGGTGCCATTTCCAGTTTCCCGCACCTGCATATGTAAATATAGTCTATGTAAATGTGGACTCCCTGAGTGAGTTGGCTGAAATCTACTTAAATTTGCACGGTTATGAGGATAGACCCTCAATTATCCACCGTTAACGTATGTTTATATGCCTGTGATGTATATCATACGGGCTTGTAGATATCAATACGCCCGTTAACAAAAGAAATATTCTGATTTATAAAGCTTGAACAAATACGAACAGGATTATTTATTGTCAGCTTATCGTTAGTTTAAAGTCGAAGACGTTTTACGATTTGGTAAAAATCACGAGCACGTGAACTGTGTTGACAGGCAATGGATCATATATATATTCAGTCAAGTCTCGTTAATCCGACACTCGTTAATCCGAAAATCGGCTTTATCCGACACAAATGATGGGAATCGATTAAATCAGTGCTATTTAGACCCGTTAACAATGTAACACAACAATATGAATATTTCCTTTTTTCGTTTTTTTATTGCAACATGTTTAAATCGTTATCTAACGTGTAGTTGTCCAATTTTCGATCACGAACGTTGATACTGCCAAATTTCGTTTATCCGAAATACTCGTTAATCCGACATAATCATAATGCAACCAACAATGTCGGATTAACGGGACTTGACTGTAATCAGATATAATGGATGGTTAGAACCCAGGAGCAGCTGACCCAAGCGCGGGTAATGGCCACATTGTGTCACACCAATAAGACCATTCGTGACAATATTATAATGGTGTGCCCCGATTATGTTTCTAGGTTTGTCAGCACCATACCCGGGCTCGTGGGTTTCACCGAAGTGGTAAACGTCTGAGACCTGCATCACTTCGGGCTTTCGTCCCACATTAATCTGACACGCCGTGATATAACTGGAATACTGTTAAAAGCGGCGTAAGCCCTAACTCACTCACTCACACACTACAATGGTGTGTACCTTCTCAACAGATTAGGGGTGGGGAGGTAGCCCAGTGGTAAGAACGTTCGCTGGTCACTCACTCACTCTCAACATATATTCCCGTTCAGAACTAGTTTAAAACTAAGTCACTTGATATTATTTTATGATTTTAGTTTTATATCGGGGTTTGTGTCTGTTACTGGCATGATAAATACACAGAGCAGTATCTGCTGGATACACGGTTTTTGCAACGAATATAGAAATATGTGTAAACTGAGCCACGTCGAGGTCCCGGAGAAGTTGATGCCCACAATAACTTTTAACAAGAGCCGACTACCGCTGAGTTTAATCGGATGGTCATGATCAACTCGGTGAAATACCTGATTGCGTGTGATCATTCCCCAATATCATTAATAGCTGATCACGTTGACAGTCACTGGGTTGTCTGGTCCAGAATCGATAATTTAAATATCGCCGTAATATAGCTGGAATATTTCTCGCAACGACATTCAACCCAATTCACTCATTTACCCGTATGAACAGTCAAAGGATTGACGGTATATATTATCAACCATTGACTCCTCATCTAACGCACCAATAAAGATTTGAAACGGTAATCTTTCTCCGTGCACTTCTTGCATGATTAAACTTATATTGTAAGTAACATTCAATTGCATATAGAAACATGTAACAGTGAACTTCTACATATCTGACAGTAAGTTAGGATGATAGAAATCAGAATAGGAAAAATTGTCTGAATTGTGAGAATGCCTTCTCATCTTGGTAAACAACGATTTATTCTGATCAAACATGTGATAGATGCATATTTAAAAGAGGGCAGTTATCAAATTAGAAGTTGATATTATACTTTAGTCAGGGTTACATGAATAGCCACCCCAGTAAAGACTTGATACTGTGTCTCAATTCATATAGAAACACCATTATTCCAAGTAGTCACATTGACGTAAGCACCCGATTTCAACTTACCTTCGTCACCAGCGAGAAGAAATGGAACAGACTGTTATGTTTCCGATGACCAAACTGAGGACTCTCCTTCTAGCCCGACATGACAAACAAGTATATATACGTTGTGCACATCAAAGGTCGGAGAGAGTAGCTGGCTTTTGGTTTGTTGTGGCAATGAGATCGCACCCTACTTTACAATTGCTTCCACGGCTTATGGGTCTGGTGTTTGAGTAGTATTGTCAGGGTATTAGCTTGGAAGGAAGCCGAAGGCTTGTGGTTTGAGAGGGAATACTTCGAATTCCATTATATCTTCTTGATTGACAGGCATCCGCATGTGCATTCATCATGCACGATTCACTTTGCCGGTCCCTATTGTTAAGGTATGGAGGAAAGTGATCCGTGTAATCCCAAAAAAAATAGGGTAATTAAGGTACAGTATATTTCAGACTTATTTACCACTGTGTTAAAATGGTTTAAACGCACTTTCTTCACAAAAGTGATTTTGAATTGGTAGCTTTATTTTATAAAAAATCACACTATTTATTCATGCGTATATTATTATGTTGCAATGCAATGCAGACAACGAACATTTATAAGTGTACATAGAACGTGATACGTATTACATATAAAAATGTATCAAGTACCTTCCACCTCGGGAAATTGGGACAAATCCAATGTTGACTTTTGCAACCAACGACAACCCATATCTGTCGGTCCCTTTTGTATTACTACAGACCCGTGAAGATCCGGGGTAGAATTGGTCTTCAGTAACCCATGCTTGTCGTTAGAGGCGACTAACGGGGTCGGGTGATCAGGCTCGCTGACTTGGTTGATGCATGTCATCGTATCCTAATAGCGTGGATCGATGCTCGTGATATCAATCACTGGATTGTCTGGTCCAGACTCGATTATTTACAGACCGCCATCATAGCTCGACAGTTACCACAATCGCACACCATTCTCGCTTACATTAGCTTAACATTTCTATTTTATATGATTGATTTTTGAATAACGTGAATTAAGTTTACTTTTTAATTAATGTAGACACAATTCAGTTGTCATCTTATTAAAGTTTTAATCCGCTGGTTAAAGTTCAAGACAATGTCCATTGGTCCACTAGTTCAGAGGACCCCATATGGCTGTTTCTAATTGGGTCGACCGAGGCAATATTGAGAACTAACTTCTTTGTAGAATGGCAAGCTAACAAAACTTGTTTGCGAAAAGCTGCTTTTAAAATAACATATATAAAATTGAACGTGTGGATGTAGAAATTAACAATACATTGTCTATATGGGAAACAAACCATTGCTTTTGAATACACGCGTATTTGTTCATGTTATGAAACCACATTGGATCAATACTTTGCAAGACAATTGGGATTGTGAAATGAAAACATTCCATCCTTTAAAAGAGTAAATTAGGACAGGAATTTCAAACTGCTCGAAATGACATCCATACAAAATTACAACCAAAAATGAATTGGTCTTTGCTCCATGAATTGGGATTGATTTGTGTGGAAAGAATGAGGTACTGCATAAATTTGGTGAAAAGATGAAAAAATCGCAAAAACACCACCACGTGAGAGTCTGGCACCGAAACACACCAACATGACATGCACGTGCAACATCACTTGTTGGGCTATAAAGACGTTGGGTTTTCATTTTCATGCCACCACAATCTTACAACAAGTGAACAGCGAAACCATGCCACGACTGACGGAAGCCCAACGCACAAATAGGAGAACCATCTTCCGTTGTAGCCAGGTTTTCCACGTAGAATCAAGCACCAATACCAGAAGCGTTATCAGATACACGGACCAACACGTGACCTTCCAAGATCCGGTCGACCACGGATACATACCAGAGCACAGGACAGATTGATACAGCTACGTCACTTACGTGAAAGAACCACCACGTCACCTCTACAACTACGACAATACCAGGATTGCGTAGGATACAGTCCCAGAGTGTTAGGAAACGTTTACACATTGAAGGTATAGACGACCATTTCGATGTGTCATTTGGACGGAGCTGCATTGTCGACTGTGACGTTAATGGTGTCACATAGTATGGCCACAACTGCGATGGAGACAAGATTGGTTAAGTGACGAGTCACGTGTTATGCTTCGCCGTGCAGATGGCAGACGTCGTGTTTACAGGCGTCGCGCGTTATGCACAAAACTGCATACAGGAAGTGGACAGTTTTGGTGGTTGTAGTGTGATGAAGTGGGCAGCCATCTCCTACACTGGTAGAACAGACCTGGGTAATTCAACGGCACACGCCCGTCCCATTATGCATCAATCAAACGTCATATTCCAACAAGACAACGCCCGATCTCACACGGCAAAACTGATACAGCCCCTTCCAGGAATCACACCATCCATGTCCCGTCATGACCCTCCAGGTCTCCAGATATAAAACCGATCAACCTTTAATAGGATGCACTGGATCAACGACTGCGAGAACATCAGCAACAACTACAAAACCTTCGACTGTTGGCACAAGCACTGCAGGCAGAATGATTGAAAGTTCCCCAGGCCACAATCCAGGGTCTGATTGCTTCCATGGGACGACGATGCCAGTCAGTTTTGGTCGCTAATGGTGGCCATACAAGATATTGAGAACAGATGGCCTTCACCTTGCCAATCTACTGTTCCATATGTGCAATACGGAACCTGGGACAATGACAGTGATGTGTGAGTTGTGAACAATCGATTACCATTTGTTGGATTGTTATATAAAATATATAATTCACATCTAAAATCACTTTTGAGTCTCTTTTTTTTACAGATTGTTCGGCAGGTTCAACTTGAAAAAACAAGCGTCACTCTCTAGTTTGTTACACCACCACAGTGGACGGGAGGTTTGGAGAGAGATAGATGAAACAGGTCTTGGTAATGATAGATAGTCCTACATTCAAGTGGAGCTGGTGAACATTGATGGACATATTACATGTGATCTCCAGGAGGGTTGAGACGCAGTGGACTATTTTTTAAATTCTTCTATTTTATTGTTAGAATTTAGAACTGCTGTTTCCAGATACAAAGGTACCAAGGCGGTTGGACTAGAAGAAGTATAATTTGAGGCTATCAAGAATGACAACTACATTGCATACAAGTATTTAATTGACATATGGGCTATTAAACCATTGCTTGAAAATGGGACAGCACCTTCAAACTAGTAACATGGCATGGGCTCATTATGCTTTTGTGAAGCCACTATCACAGATGTAAGAAAGGTTAGGAGTTAAACGTACTGAGACTTATTCTAAATGCCATTCCAAAACTTGAGACTTATTTTGCTCAAGTTTAATGTAAACGTACTCAGGCGCACGCGCGGCCCCAAAGTAGCGGCCATAAATTTTTTGACTTCCGTGATTGGATTCAAACCACGGTCCCTCTGAGATCGTACGCCTTGTCCACATGACCAAAGTGGTTAACACCGTCGACAAGCTGAGGATGTCATTTGTTGGATCACTTCTCCCCCTGTTACACAAGCAACATCTATGGGAGGCAATTCCGCACCCCACCCCTCCCAATGTATGAAACACCTCATTAAGTATGACATATGAAACAGTAACATGCGACACGAATCTTATCTTGCCTAGTAAAATAATGAAACCATCGATGTTTCCAAAACAGTAGAGGTATGTTATCATTTGTCAAATAGGTAAAGCTGTATAACGTTCAGGCAGAGCATTACCGCTCGGTCTGCAATGATGCGAAAATTATCATGCAGTCTTCTTTTAGTGTGCAAATTCGACAAATAATACAATTCGCTCGTCACGCCGAAGACCCGGGTTCGATTCCCAACATGGGTACAATGTGTGAAGCCCATTTCTGGTGTCCCCCCGCCGTGATATTGCTGGAATATTGCTAAAAGCGGCGTAAAACCATACTCACTCACTCACTCACTCACAAATAATATACACATTTCTATCCGTTTTTATGCATCTTATGTTTTTTTCGGGTTGGTGTAGATGTCTGACCACGACTCGTCTGAAGTGGAATTTAGATCCCCTCGAGCAGTGCATACATCGTTTACCCCACACAGCCACCATACAAGTATACTGAACCGCAAAAGAAACGTTACCCCATGTAACATTACATGAAAAGTTGTCATTTAAATATCTGGGTAATTTTTGCAAAGGTTTCTAAAAATTTAATATGACCTTGTCCGGAAAAATTAAATTTTATGATAAAAAATCCCAAAGCTGATGACAATAAAACCGATCGCCCAAACGCATCACGGCAATGGCCATGGTAACCCGATGTACGTGATTTCCGTGCAAACTGAAATGCACATGCGTTCCTCCATTTCTTGCCCTATAAAACATTCATTCGTTATTGAATTGCTACCACATGCCAAGATTGACAAGAAATCAGCGACACCAAGCCCTTGGACGATTGCAAGCTGGACAAACCGCCCGGCAAGTAGCCAATGCATTTCAAGTCCACGCAAGGACCATATACAGGCTCCACCAACGGTACCAGACCACCAACACTACAGATGACCGACCGCGTAAGGAAGACCAAAGGTCACCACCCGATGTCAGGATCGTCAGATTGTGCAACAGCATCTTCAAGATCGCTTTGTTACTGCTGCGGACACTGCTCGACAGACCATGGGGACAAATCAGCGACACATTAGTGTGGACACCGTTCGTCGACGATTGACGAGCAGACACCTCCACTGTCACAGGCCACACCGAGGGCCCATTCTGACACCACGTCATCGCCGGGGCCGTCTTCAGTGGGCAAAACAGCACCAGCATTGGCGCCACAGCAATGGAGAAGAGTACTCTTCTCAGACGAGAGCCGTTACTGTATCTCAACAGCAGATGGCATGCTTGTTATTCGGATGCTTGTGTTGTTGATAGAAACTCTTGGGGTGGTCCGAGCATCATGGTGTGGGAAGGAATTGGTCTTGCGCAGAGGGTCGGCCCTTTGGTCTTCCAGAACACCGGTCCAGGGAGAGGCAATGGTGTCACAGCAGCTCGATACATTGTTCAAGTCTTGAGACCACACGCCATACCTCATTTGGCACGTCGCCTCAACCACGAGTTTCAGCATGATTACGC